AGCCACTAAAGGAGAAGATGACTTAAGAGCCTTTTTAGATTCTTTCCATGATGCATTTTTGTAGATGAACTCATTGCAATTGAAATTACATCACATAAACTTGAAGGCCCAGTGACTAACTCTGGTAGCTGTGATGAAGAACCACCATATCAAATTATCTTCAGATATGAGAGACAAGGCCAGTGGGTTGCCATATATACTATGATTCAAGTTTCTGCATTGGCCAAGACATGGACATTACATCTCCAGCCTGTGCAATAATGAAGTTTCTAGCTCCAATTAAGGGTAGAAATGATGGCCTTTGATGAGTGACATTACACAGGCTGAGTCAAATTTTGCCTTAAGATGGTACTGAGGTGTAATGCCAGTTTCTAGTGATGGTAGAATCTGGAATGTTGTAGAAGCCTATAAAGAAATTCAGATTGAAAATCACCATTAGGGGAGGAAGTTCAGTAGAGCTGTTCAAAGTGCCCAGAAAGTCTTTTTCATCAGTTCCAGTAAATGTAGTTCATTAAATCTGTTTGTCTGTTAATTTGAAGCACTTTTTTCAGGCCCTAAAAACACCCAGTACAGTACAAGATTATTGTAAATAAATGTAAATCATACTTATTATAAAACCCAGGTTGTGTGTGTACGTTTATATATTGGATCGGATTTCCTACATTTTTCAACCAATTTCAACAAAACTTCACAGGACTATGTAAAATTACCTTGCGGTGGTTCTGACAGTGCCAAAAATTGGAAAAACACAATTATTTTTGCATGAAATCAATTTGAAAACATTAAGAGGCATCGCGAAAATGAAAGGGAGACAACTCATATCAAGTTATACTTATTATAAAACCCAGTTTGTTTGTGTGTGTGTGTGTTCATTATATATGGGATCGGATTTCCTACTGATTTCAACAAAACTTCACTTTTTTTTGGCAGGTAGTGTTTCTTATTGTCTTGCACACTTTTTTCTTTATTTTTATATTCAGAATGCTTTAAAAATTCCATTTACAAGACAATTGTTTATAATAAAATTCTATTCAATCTTTAGACTCATAACGATTGGAAACAATGTTTTTGTTTGAGTTTGGGTTAGACCAGTTCGTAAAAAAAACAACAAAACTAAGTAAGACATGCGTGTCCGTCAACCTTAAACAATAATCTTTGTCAATTTTATTTTTCAGTCTTTATGATGGTCGATACTTGATCTATCTCTTACTGTTACATCCCCGGGCAACGCCGGGCTCTACTGCTAGTACAGTATATATGTAGATGTATTTTATTTTTATGTTAGTATATACTTTTAAATAAAGTTTGAAAAGTTTTAAAGTTTACCTAAACTTACCTTTAAACATTGCTGTGATGGTCTAATACTGCCATGATTGTATAGTGGGGTCACATAGTAGTAATTACTGGAAGCCATGGAACTCCCCTGAAGCAATGCTGATGCTTGGGAGGAGTAATAATGGCATGCTGGTGGGAGAAAGTTGTTGTGGTGGTGAGTTGGGTCACTTTCATGAGCTGCCTGTTTGGGCTGGAAGAATGAATTCAACTTAAATTGTTTGCCACTTTGATACTGTTTGCAAATTATCAATTCCTTTAATGTTTGAAGGTGTTGATAATACACCTTAATTTCCTGATTCTTGGTCACATCAACAAATTTTAGGAGAGTGTCAACAGAATCACACACATTAGACATTCTTGGTTGTTCCACCACCTCTTCCTCTTAATCACTGTTTCTAGTGAATGGCTTGACAAAAAACAATACTGTATACCAAAATCAGTATAAAATGTCCAAGAGACAATGCATGGGTGTATATGACGAGCACTCAAGTAAGCAACAGCGGCTATTCCTGACACTAGCATTCTCCTCTGTCTGTTGATTGTGCCAGTAAACAACAGCTGCCAATTCTAGAACTAACAGACTAATATTTCTTTAGATTTTGTCCACTAAATCTGGAGTTTGTTGGTTCCTGCACTGTAAATTCAAAGTTTTACTATATATATACACACACACACACACACACACATTTTAGAAAGTTTAAATTTAAGAACTTTAGAACCACTAATTTGGGACTTCTCTTGAGAGGGATGCTTCCCTGATCACTACAGTTACTTAGTCTATTACTGAGTGCAAGAGAATATGAGAAGACAAACTGCTATCATAAAACTTAGGGTTACATCTAGTCATTTCCATTGTAAAATGATGATACTTTGTCACAAGTTCAGTAGTACATTTAAATTCATAAAGTCTAAGTACAAAAATGTTCCTTAGAACAATTACAATGAAAATATTTATAGAAAAGGTAGAGGAAAGCTACGTTATAGTGGGAAAGTGACTGAAGCTGAGATGCCAGGTCAGGACCAATAACATTGCATATTCTTTGTATTTTATCTAGAATCTCTAAAAAATCTCGCTATTTCAAAATTTAATCTTTTTTTTCTCTTCAGTCAGATGTGGATGGCTGACTGAAGAATATTATTTTTAGATTTCTATCTAGGCTTAAACTTTTTTATGAAAGCTAAATTTTGAATAATTTACTTGCTAAAGATGTAAAACAAACCATTTCTTAAACTCTAATCAAATCTAACCCAGCCCACTTGTCTATACATCAGCTATGAAGCCCAATTCTGTCACATTGAAGACTGGATGTATATAAAGACATAGAAACAAAACACATTGCCAAGCTAAACTCTATTGACAGCCCCCTCCCCTCATGCAATATGTAAAAGAAATAAACACAAAAAAAATAAAGTGTAAATAAAAGGACTAGATGAAGTAGAAATGTTGCCAAGTTGAATATCATTTAATGAAAAGTAAAAGAGCACAACATGAAAATTACAAATTACATGCAGGCCAAAAACAAATAAGCACAAAAATTTCACTATTTACATCATTTGGACTATTGTCCTCATCTTTGTCACCATATTTATTACAACTTTTCAGCTGTTGTACACTCCAGCCTTTTTCAGGTGGTCCCTGAAGAAAGCCGGAGTGTACAACGACCGAAACGTTGTAATAAATATGGCGACAAAGATAAGGACAATAGTCCAAATGATGTAAATAGTGTACATAATACCTCATCTCAGAAATATAGACAGATACAAAAATTTCAATATCTAGAAAGTGTCTTAACAGGGAATGGAAAATCCGCCATAATGGTTTTTATCTAGAAATAAACTAAGGATATGAATCTGTTTTATTTGTAGAAAATGTTATTCATCCTTGTAAATTGATTGTGTGATTTATTTAAAAAAATTTTTGGATATTAAATTGATGATAAATTTCTAGCTGAAATACAAAAAAAACTGAGTGAATATTTTTTTAAATTTTATTTCAGAATAACAATAATCTAATTATCTGTTTAGATAAAGCAGCATAATACCAAAGCAAAAAAAACATTGAAGACAAATTTTTTTTTTTTTGTTTATTTCAATTACACTGAGAAAACGTTTTTTTCATTTCCTGTAAAAAGGATTTAAAGAATGAATTTGCTTTTCTACTTACACCCTAACTTCCTTTTGTCTCCTTCGAGTTAAATTTCCTGTGAAAAACTCAAATTTCAAATAGTCAATTAAAAAATGAAAGTAATATACAAAAACTATTTCATAATTAATGTGTGATTAGCAAAAAAGACAAAGTGTAATTCATATTTGATGTAATGGAATAACCTGTCACCCCCATGAGTGACTACACTATAGGTAGTAAATACCTATAAGTATCTGTAAGTCAACGGACTACAGAGTCTAGCTGAAATCTTTTTCAGCTGTACTGTTGAACTTTCTGCCTTCGGGCAGAAAGGAACCTGGACAAGGCTATGCCAAAAGTCAGTCTCATTCGGGGAGGTAGACCAACCCAATCTTGTTTATGCAGGCTCTATGAGGATTTTTTGACCGAGCCTACAGGCTTGGGAACCCTGCATTAAATCCGGCCTTGTGCCACATGTGACTGTGTGGAGCAGTTGCTAGATACTCTAGCTGAAATCTTTTTCAGCTTTGCTGGTCAAACTCTTTGCCTCTGAGCAGAGAGGATCCCCAGACAAGGCTAAGCAAAAGGGCATTCTCATCTCGAGGAAACGGCTACCTGACCCTGTTTTACATGGGTTCTATGAGAATTCTTGGCTGAGCCTACGGGCTCAGATGCCCCACATTAAATTTGGCCCTGTGCCACATCTGATTGCGTGGGGAGGTTAGTAAATATACTAGCTGGGATCTGTTGAGTATAACTCAGACTTACGTGAGAACTCCTGATCTTCCAATAGTAGCAATCACTACTGGATCTTGAGCATAACTATTACCTTTATTCTTATTGTACAGGTTTTTTACAATAAACCTTTACCTATTTTATCCATCTTGTTTTTCAAGTATATATTCCTATAAGAATTGAATATAACAATATTTAATCTTTGATATCTAAAAAATTAAAGAGATATTTTAAAAAAAAATATTTATTTACTAGTTTTGTTTTTCAAATGAGAGGATGCTAAAAAGTTCACAGCTTGACTTGCTTTCCGAGATCAGTATTTTAATATAGAATTTAGGAAGTGTTTCAGACAAGTTTTTAGAACAACCTTTATATAGAGGGGGGGGAGGGTAATTATTTTTATCTTGATTTTAAAACTATCTGATTGAGAAATTTTGTGCTTTTTTGTTTTATTTATTTCTTATTTCCATCTGGAAAATTCTTCTTCAAAGTGAGTCTGTTATAAAATCTACAAATTAAAAATATTTTTATATACAAAATTATATAACTTATTTTATCTTACTGCACTTGTGTTAAGAGCTGGAGGTCATGATTTGCATCCAGCTGGAGGCATGTTGAGAATTGGCAGTGGCAACAGAGCCAATCAAAATAAAGTAATTAATCCGATTTTAATAAATATGAATTATTCTACTTTATTTTGAATTTAAATTATGAAATTTACAAAAAAAAAAAATTAAATTAAAAAAAAGTTGTTTTCTATTTTTTTGTTCTTTTCAATGAAGAATTTTTTTATTTTTTTTTACAGGATATTTCCACTGTTGATGGTGGTCCATTGTGTATTTTGGGTACGGCTCTCAATCGAGAACAGAAAGTTGAACTTCAAAAAAAGGCAATGCTTCTAAAAGCAAAAATTGTTGAAGAGTTTAACCCAGAAGGTAAAATAAATCTGTCTGTAGTTTGTATTAGATCATTGCAAAAGTTTGTGCCCGATGAGAGAATGAAAAACAAAATTTTACATAAAATTTCACAAAAATATTTATTAGTCAAGTACATAGTCTCCTGTCATTTTACCAGTTTGTTGAAACTTTTCTTTTTTTGTTGTTGGAAGAAAGTAGTGAGGTAATTTTTGAATGACTGTACAGAGTTAATATTTTCTTGTCATTGAAATTGTTCTGTAGAAAACAAAGACAAATGAAAATCTAAAGGAGCCATGTCAAGAGAATACGATTGGTGCCTGAGGGTTCTGCAGTGCCTGTTTTGCAACATGCGATCTTATATTGTTGTGGTGGAGAATGGCACCTTTGCCAAAAATGGACATTTTTCTTGAACCCAAATCTTTTCAAATAGTGAAGTTGAGATTTTGAATTTTCAAACTCTTAACAGTCTCTTCCATGATCGCAAGCAGAGCATCTTCACCGATGTCTGAAGATCGGCTAGAGCATGGTTGAGTATTTAGATTAAAATCATCCTCACAAAATCTGCCAAAACACTTTTTGACCCTATGAATAGCTGAAGATGGTCCAAATAAACCTTCTGAATATTTTTTTGTCACATTTCTGATGCTTACTCCTTCCTAAAATTCATAAGCCATAATATGATGTAAGTGCGACTTTTCATACTCCATCTTTTAAGATATTAATTTGTGGACAAAACATCATTTAAGAAAGTGTGACTCACAACTGAATTATGTAAAGTTTCAATCTAGAACACACCAGAAAATCAGGCACAAACTTTTGCAATGAACTGATACTTTGGATATATTATTTAATATTTTGCTTTGAGTTAATTTACACTCCTCCTGTGGCACCTTGCATTATTAGAAATATTCATAGAAATATGATTTAATTTTTTCTTACTCGGTTACTAAACAGGTTGTTGATTTTTTTTTAAAACGGAAAATAACTGAGTTGAAAATAATTCACTAAGATTGTACTAGACGATCTTAAGGGAAGAAGAAGGAAAGAAAAGAAAAAAAGAAAAGAAAGAAGAAGAGAGAAAAAGAGTTGTATGATGCATGACCCAATTGAGGGTGGAGATAGGAGTCAGAAAGAGATTTAGGTCAGCGTCTTGGCCGATTTTGAAAGACAATTGGAAGAATAGAATTAGAAATAATAAAAGAAAGAAAGGGAAAAGACATGATATCAAACGGGACGCTGATGTAGACCAGATATCGTCAAAGCATCTGACCGACTTTTTTGCGTGGAGAGACTCTTATCAATTTGGTTTAGAACAATAGAAATGAAATTTTTAATCAGAGAAAAAGTGTCTTTGGGTTGAGGGGAGTGACCGGTGGAACGATATACAGATCCTGACCTGTTAAGAATTGGACACCCACGTTAATAAAGTGGAGACATTTTCAAAGTAGATAATTAAGATTTTTCACTATCAGGAAAAACAAAGAGGTAAAAAGAGGGACAATTGCTTTTGGCTCACAGAGGGCGCCAAGAAGGCGGAAAAGATCCTTTCTGAAGTCAAGTCTAATTAGCGGCGGGCTGTTTGACAAAGTCCAGGTGAGAGAAAGCCAAGATTGTCATTTTGCGTCGTGCAAAAAAAAAAGGCAAAATTGGATTTTTTTTTTTAAAACAAGAACGATGTAACCACGCCCGCAACAAGAGGAGAAAGGATGTTCGATCAATAACAATTGGTCGGAGACGGTCACGTGATCTGCGGAAGAAAAGGAAAAGAAATGCTCGATCAGGAACGATTGGTGAAGACGGTCACGTGATCTGCGGAAGAGAAGGGAAAAAATGCCCGATCAGGAACCATTGGTTAAAGCGGTCACCTGACATACGAGAGACTAAGAGAGATGGATGTGCGCCGCCCCACCAAAGGTACTATGAGGAAGTAGGGGTGAAAACAATAGCGATAATGGAGAAGACAGAATTAATGCAGCTTTTGGAATTATCGAGAAAAAACCCTGACGCCGACAGACCCACCCCAGTTTGTTGCAAGGTCAATAAAAGCAGGGCCCCAATCGACAAAAATCAGTTCAGCCCGGACGGGTGAGAAGAGACCACCTCAGGCGACAGAGAGTTGCGGCTAAGTTGAAACAAGAAATCTTCCACCAAGTTGAAACAGGAAAACTACCAGCCCAAGCAGACGAAGAAGAAGAAATACAACTCAAGTCGGAGAGAAGAATCAACTGCGAATGATCGATAGAAATTAGCCCCAGTGTCGAACTGAACCACACTCCGACATACATACATGATCCTAGAAAGTAGGTAATTCGACATTTTTTTTATTGTGTGATAGAAGCTTGGTGCCATAGTCCACAGAGCGGGTCGGGAATTGAGAACAATTTTGTTTTTTATGTAACGGACATTAAGATATAAAAGGTTGTTACCCTTTTTATCAGCAATTTTGTTTAGTGTCGTGAGTTTTTGTTTTATTTGTGTTTTGCCACCCCGTCCGGACTCGACATATCGGCCCAAATCCCTGCTGGTCCCGTCTGTCTAAGATCTAAACACAGCGTGGGTAGACAGACCGGAGATCGGTATAGTTGCTTTAGTGACCAGGTATTGGAAGCGAGTCGGGAAAGGCGAGGCTGGTGATCATCTGACCAAAGGGTTGGAGCGGCACGCTTGGACCCAGGAGGAGCGACGTCACCGTTGGCGCCGTAACCAAAGGATCCGACACTGGGCCAGGTGTGTAACCGTCACATCCTGTGATATTTCTGTCTGTAAAAAATCTTTTTAAAGAAACACCAAGTAAAACTGTTATCAATGACTGAGATTTTGACTTGGAACACTGCTTGTAATGATAACAGTTTATTGTAATAAAGCCTGCAATAACCTGCATACCTCTTGGACCAACCAAACAGCTGGATTCTGGGTACTGAACGTTAATCTATAAAGGTAGTTTGACCTAAGGATGAACATGAGAAAAGTGGTAGTGAACTCTGAGGCTACTATAAGTCAAATTAGGGTCAAAACTGCTATTTCTGGCCACAAAGCAAAAAGGGAATGTCTTTTTATACAACACCACATAATCTTAAAATTCACAAATTGTAGGTGTCTATGTAAACATTTTTTTCTTCTCAAAAGAAATACTAAGAGATGTGCTGATAGCCAAATGGTCAGTGGCAATAAAAACAGTTGAAATTCCTCTGTTCACTTTGCACTAATGCCTTTAGGAAAGGCAAGAATAGGAGTAAATAATGCAATTGACATTGAAGAAAGTTTGAGGAAAAGGATTTCACAGATTAATTATGTAAGTTTTTTTTTTTTTTCTCCCAGAAAACCAGTTCATTTTAGGTCATCTTCATGGCCAAGTGGTTAAAATATTTGCTTTCCAACCATGAGATCTGGGTTTGAATCTCACCAGGGTCAATGTGTCAGGAGGGTGACTTCTTGATGTTATTGCCCTGGGGAGGTAATCCCAGAGTGCATCACCCTCAGAAAGTATCTAAAAACCATACTACAGGTTGGCCCAATTTTTGTGAGTTATTTAAATAAAGTGTATTTTGGCAGCAAGAATTCTTTCAAAGATACTAACACAACAAAAGGAAGAAGGATGAATACAATAAATGAACATTGGAAAATTAATTCTAACATAAAACAATTTGGTCAGAAGTTATAAAATCTAAATAAAAAAAAGTTGAACTGACAGACATTGTCAGCACTGTTTAAAATATATATATATATATATATATATATATATATATATATATAATATGTGTGTGTTTGTTTATAATAAGGATATTCAGATAAAGTTTTATAAATTTGACAAATTGTAATATTGACTTGATTATGCATTCTTCAGATCAGAACAAAAATAGATGTGTGTGCTTCAATATTAAATCATTAATACTTTATTTTCTGCTAAGTTGGCATCACTTGTTTGGGATGAAAGAACAAAATTGTGTAACTTTTGTATAAAAGCCATTATTTTAATTTATACTGTTTTCTTTTCTTTTTTTCAATTTTCTTGTTTTGTTGAAACTTTTCACATTTTCACAGTTTTTCTGCATTGAATTTAAGGTAAATCACTATTCAGATTCTTCCCTTCTATTGTGAAGTAATGTTTTACCACATGTCCCTTTTTTATTACCACTGATCTACATTTGTTTGGCTTGAAATTCATTCTTGCCCACTCAATCAGTCTCTCTAAACCACGTTACAGCCATCTACAGCCTGTGACGGAATGTGTGATGATTATAAGATCATCCATGTAAGCCCAGATGGGTGGTTGCCTAACTCCGGTATTTAAAACGGGGCTATGGCATTCCACCTCAGCGGACTTTACAAGCATATTCACTGCGAGAACAAAAAGCATGGCTGACAGTGTTGAATATATTGTATATGTTGCTGTACAAGACGACCTTTTAACCTTAAAAAAAATCCCCCACCCATCCCAGAAAATCGGGGGCCATCTTATACTCCAGGTATAAAATGAAAACATTAAATCCAGTAGCATATGGTAAGTTTTTAGGGAACATGTGTGTCTCAACAAGCCATTTAAAGATTTCATTCAAGAATAGTGGAATGAGTGGATGGTTAGCAAGGAAAAGTCATTCAAGATACCATAAATAGCCTACTGAAAACATAGAACCCACTCACAAGATATTGTAGATGGTGGTAATTAATTGACAATACCACCCTACTATTTTTTTCATTAAAATTTAAGTGAAAATATATGCTTACTGAATTTATTTAATAAACTCAATACATTTTAAAATACAATTTGGGAAGGGATCATCTTGGATGGCGAGTATAGCTGGAAATGTACATTTTAACTTTAAATTTTGGCAGTCGCCTTATATGTCCGGTTACCTTGTACGCCAGCATATACTCTGTGTGTGTGTGTGTGTGTGTATATATATATATATATATATATATATATATATATATAGAAAATGTTGAAAAAATCTTGAGATGACCAAGCAATGATTACTTCCAGTACTTTGGTCAGATTTTGATACAAGAGTCAGACAGAACTTTTCAATATTCTGTCATATATATGTTCCTATGTCTGTGAATCCTGTTTTAAGATAATTCCTTAACAAGTGGATTGATAATCCAGATTTTGACAGTTTATGCCTCTATTTGGGCATAACCATTTCTTATTTTCTTTTTTTTTTTCCTGAATGAATTAACCATTGGCTTATCCACCTGTTCTGGATTAAAGTTGTTTGGAATAAACATAAAATTTGATGAAAGAAGCTAATTGCTAAATTTTATCATTCCTTCTCCAAGTTGGTTTTAATACCCATTATCTTTCTGCTTTCTTAAATCTCTGAGCCTCCAATAGGAAATCTTTGTCAATTTATTATTGTTTTTATGATTTTTTAAAAATATTCTGGAATTAACTATCTGAAATGTTTTAACCTCATTTTCAAATACCAGTCTAAGTTTTGCCACACCTATTTGTTTTCTTTTTATTCTATCAAGATTTTTTTTTTTTTTTTTTTTGGACTTAATTCCTATTGTTTAAAATATCGTTGGTCTGGGATGTCTTTATTTTCTAACCTCTCTATTGTTTTTTTCTTAACTTATTGTGTCTCCTGGGTTATGTTTTGAAACACCCAAATTTATCTGGGTATTAACATTTCTCTTGGATGGGGGGTGGAGCAAGATGGGCATGTTTAGCATGCTCTGTTAAATTATTTAACAAGCCTGAATTTAAATGGTTTCTAATAACTTGTAAAATCCTAGGTAACCTTAGATAAGTAGCATTTCCATCTGACTTCAGTATTAATTTACAGATCAATAAAATTATGCATTAAGTTTACTTTCTCTTGCTGTATGTTATCATAAAAATTTACTTGATTGAGCACTTCAGCATAGTGTAACGAGCTAGCAAGCTCGTCTTGCTAGATCAGTTATGACTTAATAGTGAGTTTGATCCTCACTGGATTGCCTCACACGTTCAACCTTGTGCCACACTTAGAAAACCGCCATTAAAATTTACTTGTTTTCAAGAGATCTGAATAATATATTGATCATGTTGGTGAAAGGAAATGTTTTAAGTTTTCTTAATTCTATTTTGATCTTAATTATTATAAAACGCAGATTGTGTGTGTGTGTGTCTGTACGTTTATATATTGGATCGGATTTCCTACATTTTTCAACCGATTTCAACAAAACTTTACAGGACTGCATAAAATTACCTTGCGGTGGTTCTGACAGTGCCAAAAATTGGAAAAACATAATTGTTTTTGCACAAAATCAATTAGAAAAAAAACGATAAAACACGATTCTGTCAGCAGAATGAAAGGGGGACAACTCATATCGAGTTATACTTATTATAAAACCCAGGTTGTTTGTGTGTGTGTTCCTTTATATATGGTATCAGATTTACTACATTTTTCAACTGATTTCAACAAAACTTCACTTTTTTTTTTGGCAGGTAGTGTTTCTTATTGTCTTGCACACTTTTTTCTTTATTTTTACATTCAGAATGCTTTAAAAATTCCATTTACAAGACACTTGTTTATAATAAAATTCTATTCAATCTTTAGACTCATAACGATTGAAAACAATGTTTTTGTTTGAGTTTGACCAATTCGTAAAAAAAACAAAAAAAAAAAAACTAATTAAGACATGTGTGTCCGTCAACCTTAAACAATAATCTTTGTCAATTTTATTTTTCAGTCTTTATGATGGTCTATACATGATCTATCTCTTACTGTTACATCCCCGGGCAACGCTGGGCTCTACTGCTAGTATGAGATAATATTGACCGAGCGAGACCTGTATCAATTATACGGATTTACTAATAAAATTTTAATGTTACACTCTGCACTTTATAACCCATGACCATTATCAGATAGTTATAAGAACAAGTAAGTCTCTCTTTTAACCCTTCATTACAAACAGCTGCATTTATCTAAGATGAGCCCCCTCCCTCCAATCCCACTGTGTTACACTTTTTTTTTTTGTCTTGCAGCCTCTCTCTCTCTCTGTTTTACTCTCTATATCTCTTACTCTTTTCATTTCTCTCTCAGACATTCAACACAGTCTGGGTTCCCCTAGTTTGTAACAAATTTGCAAAGATAAGGTTTTTTAAAAAAAAAAATATATATAAAACTTTAATTCCAAAAGGTCACATGCTGTTCAGAGACAAATTTGTCCTCAACAGATCATTAAGTCACGAAACATGATTTAAACCTTCACTATAAACAATTGCCTTTAACATAAAACAAATCCCTTTTTGTGTTGCACCCTCTTTATAGTGTTTAATACCTCTGTTGTCAATTCTCTAGAATAAAGAAAATGTATAAATCCACTTTCATATGTTTGGGTTATATCAAAATTCTAATCAACACTTTTTAAAACAATAAACATCGTCAGGGGAGCCAAAAGTGTATACAGTAATAGCAGTGTCGAGGCAATAATTCTTTTGGTATATGGTTTTTTTGTGGGTACAAAAGTTAAACATTGCCAATCTTTTCTATAAGCTACAATTCTACAGTACAGTTTTCGAGTGAGACAATAGTGGAAGTAGAAGAAAAAAAATTGGTTTCGGGAGGGGGGTGAAATACTCAGAACCCCTTATCTTTGACTGAAACTCAAAATGTTATCAACAGACAATGAACGAAAACATCTCTTGCTGGAATCCAAAATTTATTTACACCAAAAGTCCTCATTTGACATTGCTTTGTGAGAGTGAGAGACCATGTGATGGTTAGAAGATTCAAGAACAGAAATCCAAATTCTGAACAAATGCAATTTAGATCTTGTAAATGTCTTGGATAAATATATATAAATTTTTTTCTTGTATCAAAGTTGTTGATATATGGCCGGATTGGAAAGGATTCAAAATTTCCAAATTTTCAGACACTTTTGTCAATCTTTTTTTTAATGCAATGTTTAACCTTCATACCTGCAAAAAAAAAAAAAAAGTTGTCCAAAGGACAGTTATTACTTTGATACCTGCTATAACTATATATACTTTTGACTTTCCTTTGGATCTTGTCAGTATGGCCAAGAGGGAAGGTGGCATGTAGTCTGGGCAGTGCATGGCTTCATGCTGGAGAGGTCACTCCAGTCTGACCCCCAAAGGACTGAATGTTCAAGACTATGGAGAAGGGTTTCTGTTTGGCTTATTAGATTAGTGATTAGTACTAAATCATCAGCTTAATCTGCATCTATGATTTTTGTGGCAGGATATCTAACACTAATTCGTGGATGTAGAGTGAATCCATCATTTTTAATGGTACTGAAGTTCTGAGAATGTAATCCAAGCAAATGAAGATATAAGGTACTAAAGTGTCACCTTGTAGCATTCTTACAACATTACAAAGAAACTTGTATCACCATCTGGAAATCCTACACATATTCAATGGTACAATCACACCAGTAAAATTGTATGTGGAATTAATTTTTGTTTATTTCATTTCTATTTTGTTTTTAGTGACTCACATTGTCAGTGGTGTAAACAAAGAGGGAATGTGCCCACGGACACTTAAATATCTAAAAGGAGTTCTGGCAGGAAAATGGATTGTAACTATTGACTGTAAGTAGATATTTTTTATTTGATTGCCATGTTGTTGAAAAATCAATCTTTAAAATACATTTTGTATTTAGTCCATCCAAGCAACAAGTAATGAAAACAGTATTACTTTGCTTTTTTTTTCTTTTTTTTTTAAACATTTCACCAAAAGCAGGGCAATAAAGCTACTAAGACACAAGGGGTTACTGAGTAAAAGAATCTGAGAAAAAAAAAATTATTAAGGAGAGAAGACATTGAAATACAAGAATTAAGAAGGCAGAAGATAATGACTGATATTGTATTAAAATTTTTGAAGATCAAAGTTGACTGGAAAGCAAAGAGTTCCACAAGCAAGAAGTGCGACAAAAACTGTTTGCATAGAACTTAAGGTTACATCCAACAATTACAATAGTAAAATGATACCTACCTGCGAATCTAGTACTATGTTTAAATTCACCAAGTGGAGGTTCGACATTTTGAAATTTAAGTTGGGCCATAAAACTCATGGCTTTTAATTTTTATATTAAATATGTAAAAGGAAATCCTGTTCTTCATGTTAATCTGTTATATCTTTTATCAATATCCTGGGAAGTTTGTGAATTCCATGGATCCTTCACTTTTTGAAAATTCACTTTGTGCTAATTTGTTTTGATGAATGACCTACATTAGTACCTGTTTTTGTTAAGTGAAAGAAACTAGCAAAGGATTCTCACTTTAATACAAGAATAACTGCATTGTGATTGCAAGAAGAACTTGTTTTCTTTAACCGAAAGAAATCCTAAAAAGATTTTCACTTGTACGAAAAAAGGCAAAATGCAAAAATAGTGTTCAGCATTTATTTTGCAGCAAATCATTATCAAAGCAGGTCACATTCCAAGAATCAAACTGCTTCTTTGGGACTTAGACTAAACATCTCATCTTAAAGATACCACAACGCTGGTCTGCCATTGAGCATCTATGCTTTATCTTCTTTGGGCCTTCAGGCATCAGAAAAAGTTATAGAACTCTTAAGAGTTTTATCCTTGGTGTAAGACTGGATGCAATTTAACATTTGATTCTAAGTTGAGTGGACAGAATGCTCAAAGTTTTTCCCCCTATATGGTAATTGTATGGACACTTTTTTTTCATATATTCCTTCTGCTGGTATAATCAGCAATCACAGTTGTTGGAATCAATTCAAAGGATCTCATAGTTTAGGTCACCTTTCCTCTCCCACCATCTTCAAATGAAGACCAGCCTGTCATATAGTCAATGAGGATGTTTCACTTGACCCATGATCTACCATTCCATATTGTTGTAAAGTATTCACTTTTCATCATCTGACAATTTCATTCTGCTTGAATGGTTAGAATATTGTTGTTCCAACCATGAAACCTGTACTCAAATGTCACCAGTGTTGATTTGCCAAGGAGGTGACCTTGATAATATTGGCCAGGAAGATGATCCCAGTGTGCATCACCATTAAGGAAGTGCATGAAAATCATACCACAGGTTGACCTAAGCTTTGTAAATGAAAATGAATAGACAAAACTTTTTGGAAGCTGTTTATGGTTGTGCTAGCACCGAGTCATAAGTCATTGTGACAGAGGGTTTGAGTATACTGGCCTTGTTCGAACTGCTGATCATACCAGATTATACAATCTCACTCAGAAACTGTAACTAAGGTCTACTCACCATAGTTGAAAGGCTTACAGCCATAACATGTTGAAAAACCAGTTCTCAAACGATCACTGAAGTTATACAATATTGAGTCTAGTCAGTGCACAGATGGGTGACCGATTAGGAACACCAGGTGCTGTAAGCATGGATATGTGGGTGGTGTAATGTATAAGCTTAGAATTGGAATTTGAAGAGCTAAGTTCCAATTCCATTTGGATTTATTGTATTCACTTACAAGCAAATATCGTTGGGGAAGGTATGAATCCACCTCTTCTCCCTCCAGCTATGGGTTAATTAGTTACAAATATTTCTTGACTTTAAATAACCTGCAAAAGGTTAGTAAGTCATAACAAAACAATCAATCAAACCATAGTTGCAGTAGAAACCATGGGTTTGTTCTGTGGCTGATGAGCTGGCATATGCAACAAGGATTAGATAGCCACTTTAGCAGATAGGCATGACTGGAAATGAGTGGTCAATCATATGCGTAAGAAATACAGACCGGTACTATTTTACCTCACTTATATGGAAGCCACACATCAAAGTGACTAACATAATCTTTGCTGATGCAAATGAATTTCAAAGTTCAATTGATATATTTAAGTATGTTGGTTATTTCCTGTGATGTATGTCTTCACTTGATCCATGTTAACTTCAACTGCCTACTAAACTGGAACCTCATTTTGCAAAAAATCTAGCATAAATTTTTTGAGTTCTCTAGAGCATCTTTATAAAATTCTAAAATCTTCTTTCTTTATGTATTGCATTTTTCCCTTTCTTAAAACAAATTGGCATAATATACCAGAAATGTTGCTTATTTTCCTCCATCTAAATAGTTAAAAAGCACACCAATTTTAACAATTTTTTTTTTTAAAAGAAAGTATATTGATAAGACATCACAGTCATTTTAAAGAGTAGCTAAACTAAACACTCCTCATGTGAACTAATGCTAAAAACAGGAAAAACATTTTGGCAAACCAAACATAAAAATATTTGACCTGATTATCATTTATTTTTCCTTATGCAATGCAGGGTTGCGTACATGTGAAGAATATGGAGAGAGTATTTCAGAAGAACCTTTTGAAGTTCCTGGCACAAGTACCAACCCAAATTCTTTGGCACCTTACAATGGTAGGATGAACAGATTGAAGCAAGTAAGTCATAATTTAGTCTTAAAAACTAAATTTTATGGATTATTAAAAATATATCTTGGAAATAGTTAAGTTGTTCAAGCACAAATAGAGATTGTCAGGTGTAAATCTAATAAATCAGGAACAAAAGTTTGGTTGGGGGGGGGGACTAATGAACTTGTGTGAGGGGAAGATTAGGCCTTATCAAAATATTCAACACAAAAAGGAAAAGAAAGCAGATAAAGTTCAAATACAACAGTTTACATTCTAGAATTTTTTAGTTGTTTTTACAAAGAATGTATTCAGTGAATTTTCTTTTGAAGACTTTTCATTCAACCAGAAATAGACTTGGCACTGGAACATTTTTTTTCTTACTTCAATTTAGACTCTCAACTTGGACTAGCTACTTGATACAATGTTTCTTATCTTATTATATTTGTGCTTGTCTTTCACATTATTAGTTCGCATGACTGTTATGCCCAATGCCTCCCAAATAATGGACTAATCCATTTTAATCATGTAGAGTGGAAAAGATACTACTTGGTTTCAGTGAGAAAATGAAAGAAGGAAAGGAAATGGAGACAGAATCAGATTAAGCTGATAAAAACAGATACTACACTTTGATCTTACCCAAAAGACCAAGAAGTTGATTGTATTTTCTTGCTGCCCCACGTTAGTGGGATGTGACACATAGTCAGTTTAATGTGGGTAGCCCGACTGTGTGCACCCAGGCCATGTCCAAAAATAGCCCAGCCCCTGTAACCATCACTTGCACTGACATCAGTATTACTACCAATCCCCTCTCTTTAGTACAATGAGGGTGCTACTGCCACAGCCAGCTATTTCCTGAAACAGAGTGCCTCTCAATAATATTTTGAGTTGTGCTCGTCTGCAGACAGAAACACAATTGAGAGATAAAATGTAGTTTATCCTGCCAAAAGGTCGAGAAATGGTTGTGATTTAAAACCAAGTAAGGCAAACACCAAAAATCCAGTTACCATAAATAAGATAACATTGTCTGTGGAATTATTTTTAAATTAATAAGAGAAATGTTTGTAAGACACGAATTTGACTCGTTTATATTAAATGTTGGAATAAGGTGTAGACACAGGCTCCACACGTATATTTAACAGAAATATGTTAAGTTCTATTGGAAAGTATGTTAATTAATGATTATAAAATTTCTAATAGCTTAATAACTATAAATGTTCATAAGATGAGGATTTGGTTTTGTGCTTTGATTGTTTGTCTCGTATTATTCAGCACCATTCTTTTTTCTTCTTATTATTGTTAATTGAGGAGGAGGTGAATAATAATAATAATGATGACAATGATGATGATGATGATGAAGTTTATCCTGCCAAAAGGTTGTGGAATGAAGTAAGGTAAGGTCTGCAGACAGACACACAACTGAGAGATGAAATGTAGTTTATCCTGCCAAAAGGTCAAGAAATGATTGCAACTATGAAACCAAGTAAGGTAATCGCCAAACATCCAGCTACCATAAATAACAGTCTGCTGAATTATTATTAAGAGAAATGTTTGTAAGACAAGTATTTGGTTAGGTTATACTAAATGTTGGAATAAGGTGTAGACACTAGGCTCCATGTGAATATTTAACAGAAATATGTTAAGTCCTATTTGAAAGTGTGTTTATTAAAGAGTATAACATTTCTAATAGCTTAATAACTATAAATGCCTTAAAGTTGACACTTTACAGATTATTAATTTGGCATGTGTTTTAAATACTGTGTAATTTTCCATCCTTCTCCATAAATTATAAATTAATTAAAATTTTGTTTTAAGTTGGTATCCACTCAATAGGGATATTGGATTTTATTAATAATTCTCAATAAAAAAGGTTTTTATTTGGTCTAAAATTGATTAATTAATGAAATATGTGCTAATAATGCCTGCTATAATTTGAATCTTTTTAATTTAATTTTTACCAAATCTTTTTTTTTTTCTTCACACTGATATTCTGTTATTATTATTATTATTATTATTACTATTCTTTGGCTATTGTTATAACATACACTTTTTATAAGGATTCTTTATATGTAATGTTTTGGCTACTTGCCGTAATGCCTGTTAGTCTGAAGACTGACTCCAAACAGTTAGGTATTTACCAAACCAGGATATAGCACAAGGCCAGTTTTTATGTGGGGTGATTCCAAGCCTGTAGACTTAAGCAAAAATTCACCTTAAACCCTGCATACAAGGGGTGGGTTTGTCTACCTCCCCAAACAAAACTCTGCCCATAGGCATAGCCTCATCTGGGTTCCTCTCTATCCAAAGGCAGAGAGTTCAACTAGACTGTTGTGAGCATGGCAGAAAACTGCCTGACTCTAAATGGCTACTAGTGTCTTACCTCTGACCTAGAGCTCTTTATAGTAATGCACTAGTTCATATAGTCATGGGGTGTGGAGGGGGTGACTATTTACTCCACAACAGATATAATTTTAGTTTTCTCATTTAATTTTATAATCAGTTAATCTTAAGAAATATTGAGCTTATCAAAGAAAATGAGATATATCATGTCAATCATCCAAAACAGCATTGCCAGAAGTGAGTAAGAAATGATACTGTGATTGAGTCAGGTTCCAGTTTCCCTTCATGTGAAATTACTGAAAAATGAACAGACTGGAAAATGTGTGGATTTTTCATGCTTTAGAGTTTCTTTCTCAATGTTAATTGGACCCTCTTGCGAAGAATAGAGCCATATTCTCCCTTTTCCCTCCATATGTGGTCAGCTATGCCTGATTTTTCTATTTCCCCTCGTGTTATGGCTTTTGAAATTCATCCTGATGTTATATGTACCACAGATCTTTTCTATTTTCTGATAATCCTTTCATATAGGGTAGGCAGACCGAAGCTGTTTTCTGAGTGTTACTATCTCTTCTACTCTTCTATCCCAGTTTGTCGGAGCTGCTGCCATGTACCCAGGGTAGTTGTTATTTTGTAGAGTATTGCTTATACTGACCATTACTTGATCATATGTCTCTAGGTCGCCACTTAGGACTTTTGCTCGATGTTGTAAACAGCAGACAATCCCTTTCTTTACACTGTATCCATCATATACTGATGTCCTCAAGGACACATGACCCAGTGAATAAAAGCATTGATTGGATCCAATGACTTTACTCAAAGAGATGTGAGTTCAATACCTGGGCAATGGTGGTGAAGAAAAACTTGGAAAGTTGCGTTAAAAAGGCATGGCATGTGGAACTAGAACAATCTACTCTGATGGAAGAAATAAAAGGCTCAGTTCAAAATTCCAGTCACCTGAAGAAAGCCAGAGCATACAATGGCCGAAACGTCATTAAAATGGCAATTAAGATGAGGACAACAGTCCAAACACTGTATATTATTCCTTTGTTCCTCGACATTGTACAGGTATTGCAACAAGTTACAATCACTAAAGTTAAGTAATATCTAAGACATATTACTAAATCATTATCTCAAAATTATATATATTTTGAATAAAAACAGACCACTTTAAGGTTCCATGTAATAAGTTACTTCACCATAACCCTTTTAACAGGGCTCTGGATCATCAGACTTTACTTCCAAAGGTTAAAATGAAAAGAAATTCACATATTTTTGACGGACCGCATCAAGTATATGTAAAATTAACAAAGTCACGAGTTTAATCTATGAACAAAACTCAAACGAATAGATGTCAACTGAATAATCAACTAGAAAAAGTTATGTGTACAGATATATAGAACATTGTAAAAGAAGGACCTAACTCTCTGATAGTAATCCTTTATCCAATTTTCTCCTCTAATGTTCTCCAATTGAAAGTGAGTTCAAATAAATATGGAGGTAAACTTTAAATTGATAGTTTAATTTAAATTGAAATATATTACCCTTTAGTAATCATTATTGATGATAAAATAATTTAAATTGGAATAACCTTTGATAATTAGGTACCTAAAAACAATCACGAGTTTATTTAATTAATGAACAAAAATCAAACGAATAGATGTCAACTTAACAATCAATAAGAAAAAAGTTTAGGAAAATAAAATGGATTACTTTGTCAATGTACTTCCTATAAGTTTTTCCAATCGACTGTTTCATAGAAAATACCCAAAACTCCAACAAAATTCAAATTAAATTCTTCGTAGATTGTTTAGACATTTAGATTTATATCAAACCTTAACCTCCCAAATATACCCTTTAAAGTAATGTGAATTAACAGCGTCTTAGAATTTGAGTGAAACCTGCCCTCGTGGAATTAAATTTATTATGGTTTGTTGTAGCTTCTTCCTTTAATGTCGGTCTTCTCCCTCACCCATCTATATCTAGAGATAACATGCGTTAAGTTTAAGCGGCGTCTAGCCTACACAGAGTGGGGTTAAGGATAAGGAATTGAAATGGTACATCTAACCCACTCGTGTCTTCTCTACCCCCTCACTTCCTCAATTTTACATATGCTTAATGCGGTCTGTCAAAAATGTGAATTTCTTTTCATTTTAACCTTTGGAAGTAAAGTCTGATGATCCAGAGCCCTGTTAAAGGGGTTGTGGTGAAATAACTTATTACATGGAACCTTAAAGTGGTCTGTTTTTATTCAAACATATCTGCTCTGAATTTACATTGAGCTCTCTGGATATCATCCTCCTTGGGTCTACCCATACAGATTACCTAGTTTTGCATATATATAATATATATATATATATATATATATATATATATATATATATATATATATTTTCTGGCTTTAAATAACCTCCAAAAAGTTGATAAACCATAAAAAACAAATCAATCTATCACTGAATGGTTAGTGTCTTGTCATAAGTCAATTGCAATATTCACGAGAAGGTTCTGATGTGTGATCTTGTGCCAAACTATATTTTGATTGTAAATCAACTGTAAAATTTTCACTAAGAGAAAATTAAGTGATTTTAAATTCTTTGTCTCTGTGTGTGCCACATTCCTTCAGGACATAGGAAGTTATGGAGAGCTGTGACTGTCTGTCTTTTGTTGGTCTCAGGAATATTTTCTGATTCCTTTTTCTCTTTGTGTAACTTGTTGCTTTATCCATTTGTACAAACTTATCAACTTGGTTATTTGATGCTTTCAATGTGTCCTTTGAGTGTTAAATTCACTAAGCCTTTTCTTTTCATGAGACTTCTTGCTTTAGCTATAAGACTTTGGTGGCAGGATTTACACCCATAAATAATAAATTGTACAAAATCAAATCTACCCTTGGGACAAGACACCATAACACCATTCTTTCCCTGAATAGAAGTAGTCTTAGCAAAAATCAGAATTGGTCTTACCAACATAACACATTCATTCCTTCTAAAAGATGAGGATCCACCTAAATGCATCCTATGCCAGGAGATATACACAATAAAACATTTTATGATGGACTGTGCTGTATTTGCCTTTATCTGTAAATGCCTTTTTATAAGATGAATAGCTTTAAGGAACTTTTCAAAAAACATTAATGTAAAAAAACTATTTTGACCTACTTGTAGAAAACTAAATTATATACTAAACTTTAACACAGACAACTTCACTTATAGATGAACTATACTTCATAATTTATAAAACTTATCAGATAAAAATCTGATTTTCAGTATTAAATGACTCATGATGGTTGATTAGCTGTCAAAACAAACCAAACCATAAATCTTTGGATGCTGGATCTTCTCAGTGTTTTAAAAAGTAACAAAAGGTTGGGCTTGTTTGTACAAAAGAAAATGTCAGAGTTAACAAGTTGATCTTCATCTTGCAAAGCCTGTAACTCATTAAACAATAATCATCAACTAGAATTGCTTGATAACTGCATTTATTTTAATCCAAATATGTATTTGTTTGTTTCTTTTTCAGTTGCCTCGGCTATTTGATGGCTGTCAGTTCTATTTTCATGGGACATTTAATTACCCAACACCTGAAAAGGAAGACTTGATAGAATTGGTTAAATTTGGAGGTGGTCACGTGCTGAGTCGGGAACCAAAACTACACAGTCTTGATCCTACAGATCTGACTGTACCTTTCCATGCCCAAAACTCCAAAAATGAGGAACTAAGCCATTGCGGACTCTTCATCATCCATGATAACAAAGCCAACTATCCCCGGGTTCGTCACAAACACCTGTGTTCAGCTCCTGCTGCTTGGATCACAGAATGTATCGCTTCTTTTTCATTATGTGCATTGCCAAATGATTAAATGGGGTTTGATTTATGACACCTTGATCAGGTCTGTCAAATATATGTGAAAGGTGAACTGGAGTGATGGATTATGTTTTCTTATCAGGCAGTAATGTTTGAAATTTTAAAACTAGCACTTTATCTCTTCTTAAGATTCTTGCAAATGACAGATATTCATATACTTAGTTTCGGATATTGTCTGTTCATACTTATGAAATAGAAACTTCTATGAAAATTGGCACAGGATTGATAAACCTCTGCAATAAAAATTTTTATCATTTGCTGTCGAATCATAGAACTGACAGTAATTCCTTTTATCTCAAACTAGATTTCAAGCTTACAAATGCAAAAATCATTCTCGTATTCTAGTGTTAGATTGGCAAGTGAAGCTCAGAGAGAAAAAAAACCTTCTCTTGTACGGCATTCATTTGCAAATAGAAATAAACAGGGAGGGGCATATTCACTTCACTGAATCAAAACAAAATGAATTTCATCTTTTATTTCAGTTGGATTTTATCTTCATTTCCCAAAGTTTAAAGACATTTTAATTAAAAGAAATTTGTATTATACAAAATCTATTCACATCAATATATATTTTACTTGCACATAGACATAAGATACTTACTTTTTTTTTTCATTTGGCACCTCAGGACTTAAATCAAGGTGAGAGATTTGTCTGTCCTTTTACCTTCTATAATGAAACTAAACAAATTCCATTTTTTTTTTATATATACATATATTTTATATACAGATTATTTTTTTATTAATTGAATGAATAAAAGGAAATAAAAGTATCTATTCTGTGACAAAGTATTTTTCTTTATGCTCTAGCAACCAAATATATAAAAAAAAAAGTCACGCAATGCCTAAGTTGCTGTTTAGAATAAAATAAAATTTATCTACAATCATCCCAGTTCAAGCAAAAGTAGGACAACCTCTCACTCCCTTTTTGTAGTGTAAGCTGGCAAGAGAGAAAAACTGTCTTCCATTTTGATGATTTAAAAAAAAAAAAAAAATCATTTCACTCCAAGTAAACAAGGCAATAAAGCCACATGAGGTTACTGAGTGTGAGAGAATATGGAGAGAGAAAACAATAAAAGAATAGGAATTAAGACAGAAGATAACGATTGATATTGCATTTAAATCTGGAAGTTGACTGGAAAACAAGAAGTTGGAAGAGAGTTTTACAAACGAGAAGTGTTATAGAAGAAACTGTTAGCGTAGAACTTAGAGTTACATTTAACCATTTCAACTGTAAAATGACAAGTACTGTGTTTAAATTCATAAAGTACCAAAGAGGAAAGCTCATCAGAACAATTAGCATGAAAATATTTATAGCAACTTAATTTTATCCTACCTAAATGGAGGAGAGCTCATGGAACATGGTGAGGAAAGGAAGTCCCCTTCTCTAAAAACATTATGTAACTATTGTGCTGGGGTTTTTTTTTTTTTTTTTCTTTCTCTGAGTACCACATGACACAGCTTGAGACTCACTAAACATTTGTCCAAAGAAATTTTGTTTTTGTCCCTTTTTAATTTATAAAAAAAATGAAATTCAAGAGAAGGCATGGTGAATTTGAGCAGGGATGTGTATGGAGTGAAAGCTACATCACAACCGATGCTCTCCTATCTTTGTCACCAACTTGCATCTTTGCTAGAGATGCTGCACATTATCCAAAATGTTTTTTGTTCAGAAAATTTGTTTGTGAATCAACGTTCCACTGTACTTGTAAAAAGAATGAAGGAAAGAGATAAACTGAGTTGCATGGCCATTAATAGGAAAAGTTAAGAAAGATAGAAGACATAATTAAACAACTTCAACCAACCTTGATGAGGAAGAAAACAGTGAATCACTGGACGTTTAAGTAATGCACATTGATTAGGTTAGGATTAGTAATAATAATGGTGAATAGATTTTAATGTGCTCTCTCTTAGTAGATGATGATTTATCAAAGAGAAAAACAATTGAATGCTAGAAATAATTTTTTATTTAAGTTGGGCTAAGTTGAATATTAAAGATCCGTACAGAATGGTCATCACTACAAGAAGCAAGCTGGAACTTGCATCCATTTTTTCCTTCTCTCTGATTTTCATCATCATCACCTAAAATACCCAGCTGATGACGAAATCGTAACCGCTTCACTGTTAAATGATGAGAAATTCTGAGAACTGGTCAAGGAAAATATAAAGTTTGAAAAAATTAAATTGTGTGTGTGTATATATATACAGGCTTGGTTTAGTTTGATATGCCATAAAACAAACCAAACCAAACACCAATTGGTCATTTAATGTCAACAAGATTTTTAGGATAGATTTGTATGAATAGAATATGTATACATTGTAAGAAAGTTTGTAGATTAGGTTTCATTGACATATTTTTGAAAACAGAATTTTTTTTGTCAAGAGTCAGATGTATTGCTGGTAAGTTTGTTGTTTTTTTGTTTTTTTTTAATGTATTGCTGATAATATTTATTATAAAAATCTATTTTTACACTTTCATAGTATTTTGAACCTAGTTTGGATGTTAACTATTTACTCATCGCTGGGAACCTAACAGGTGCTAGCACCCCATGTCAGGGTGGACCTAACAGCAATTAAGTGGTAGTTCCAAGCTCCTCAACACCTCCCAATCAGAGGCCTTGCTGCCGGATGTACTTTATTGTCATACCCAGGACTTTATTATATATATATATTATAATAATAATAAACAATAGGAATTAGGATTACTCCATAATATTGATAATGATCAATATTATTGAGTAATCCTAATTCCTATTCTTTATTATTTATATGCTCTGTTTGAATAAAACATTGAACTCTCTCTCTCTGAATCAGTTTTAATATTTTATTTTATATTAATAGGATTCATTTGGATTATATATCAACTGGATTTCCTATATATATTATATATACTCATTAATAATTATAATTATTTTAAGCTCCCCACACCATTCTCTGCATTATCTTCTCCCTATCTGAATACATACCCTCCCCCAATTTTGAATCTGCATATTTAAACATAATTTATGTTCAGATTATTTTTTAAGCCTGGTAAAATCTTTATTCATTTATTTGTGTAAGGTTCAGTCTGATGAGTTGGAATCAAAATTTCAATTCTAATGAAATAAATATCATCACGTTCTTTTAAAGTCATTGTTTTCATGATAATTATTATATGTCCTATTTTGACATTGAGCTCTCTCTGGATCTATATCCTCTTTGGAATTATCCATACAGATTACCAAATATTATTATATATATATATATATATAAGACATGTCTCATTAAATAATTTAGACAAGTTTTGTCTACTTATTTTTGATGATTCTCTCATATTTATGGCAAGCTTCTTAGTATCCTTATTAAAGGAAAGAAGAAAGTTACCATATTGATGTGCATTCATTTATTCAGAGTACTTTTGACATTAGCAAAATGTCATCTTCAGGGTCTTGTTTTATCTAAAACAAATTTATTGTGTCTACCTGAATATTTAATTTTTATTTGTGAAGTGAAAAACACTAAACTTATGTACTGTACAATTTCTAAATTTTATGATGTAAACATACTTGTGCAGTAACATCAAGGAAGGTCATTAAAATGTCGAGTTTTTAAAAAAACTATTCAAAGCTATTAGTTGAAACAAATGTTTTAAACTATCTACTGTGAACATTTTAAAACATTTTTGCAGTATTCATGATTAATTTTAGTAAGGGTTTGTTTCAATTTTTCAATATAGATAGGTTCAAGAATATTTCGTAATTTGGACATTCTTATCGTTAAGAATGCACAAATTTATGATAGTTTTTTTATAGAGTGAGATAGTGAATCTATTATTTTGTGTTTATCAATATATCTAGAAAAGTAATTTTATTACTAAGTTCGTATGTAAATTTAAGGACAATTATTTTGGATTTGATATATTTCATCCATATTCTTGACTAAGATAAGGATATTAGCGACATATCTTAGGTAGCATCTATATCTGCTCTGTTTCGTATCTTAAGACGATGTTTACATTGGGATATGAAACAAAGCAAATTATGGAGGTTTCAAGAATTGGCAGAGAGTGTGTGTTCAAAAGCACTATTTGGGCTTTCTTTGACCATAAGTCATATGGTGCTAGTTAGGCATATTATGAAGGTTCTTCATAGGGGAAGCCAGTTCAAATCCTGCCAGAGAACACATTTTTCTGACAAGATTTCTTGACTATTCAGGCCAGTAGATGTAGTTGGATAAAAAAAATACTGTTTAAAAAAAGAACAAGCAGGTAATCCTGACAAAGTTGCTAAAATACGAAAGTGCTAATTATCTAAACTGAAACTAAATTTCAAAGAATTATTGTAACATTTCAAGATAAATCAGTTGTATAACTAGCTTCGGCAAAGAAAATATGTTAAGTCTTAGATTTTGTCAAACCCATGCAGACATTAACCTTAGGCAAGTCCCTTTTTCAATGTTGAGAAAGGTTAGTTGAATATTCAACTAACTAAATTTGAAAAGTATGGCAATTTAAAATGAATATAAAATGCTGTAGAGAGCATAATACCAAAAGTTTCAATTTAACAGAAAAAATAAATACCACATTAACAGAAAAAGGATACGTGTCCAAAACAGTCAGTTGTTGCCACTGGTCAGTTGTTTCTGAGTCTGGTGACCACGTGTATAAATATATAAGTCCAGATTCCAAGCCAAGAGCAACCAGGTATCTAAAATTATAAGTAAAATGAACAAACACTAAAAAGACAGGTTTCAACTCTTCACATAGTGTAAGGTTCTCCTAACCCACTGCATCTCATCAGGTCTCTTTATTCCAAAACTGAAAAAAAATTCGGTTTGCCAGCTTCTTCACTCTTTCATAAAAAAAAAAAAACCAGAAGCAAATGCAACAACCAATTCCTTAGCAAATCAGGCAATACTTGAGTTGAAGTGATAAGTAGCAATCTTTGGTTTCACTCACTGAGATATATATATATATATATATAAAAACACTGACATGACCCAATGATAATTTACTCATCTTATTTTTCACCTCATATTCTCATCATTCAATCAACAACAAAAAAAAAGAAAAATAAATCTTCCCATGTGTCTGTTGGGTGGGGAAAAAAATATATGTAATCAGATTATAATCTTCAGACATAGCAACATCTAGATGACATATTGAGCATCAGAAATTGCGGCTTTTTTTTTTTTAAACAAATCTGCCAATAATAGATTTGTCCCCTCCTATCAAACTTCTCCATGGAGAACAAGGCCACACCTTCAAAACTCTCTGTATGGATGCTGCGACATGCAGTAACAAAAATTTTAGAGTAGAGAACTGTCTTCTTCTAGACTGGTTGCCAACCAAGGCTGAAGATCCCATTCTGACCTTCTATGTAACCTAGCAATGAGAAAACGGGTGGATTCCAACCTCCAAATAATTTTTCTCACCAGAATCCATCTTGCACATTTATAAATCAACCATTTGTCAGTGCATTGATTATTGCTGCCATATCTAATGTTTCTGCTGTATATCTCAAGATTCTAGACGATATTCAAAGAAGGATCTGTAATCAGTTCTGACCTGGCATCTCGTCTTCAGTCACTTTCTCACTGTTGTGACATTAGCCTCTCTCTGTCTTTTCTATATTTTTATGGCAGTTCTCATGAGATCTCCACCTTGGTACCTTAACAACATGAATTTAAATGTACTACTAGATTGGCTATTATCACCTTGCTTGGGGTGAAATGATTATAAAAAAATTGTTGAAATCTATGCAAGCCTTCTTGAAGAAGGCTAGAAAGTAGAATAGCTGAAACATTATGACAACCAATAAAGAAAAAAAAAATAAATAAATTAAACAAAAAAGTTTACTTACAGCTGATTACCATAATTATTGTAATTTCCTCTTTTTTGTTAAAAATTAAGTTTTTTCATAAAACTGACATTCAACCACTGATACTTTATGAAACAAAGGTTCAATACAAAAACAAAAAATTATAAAAAAAAAGGTAAAAATACTATGTTTGCAGGATGGAATAACTTATTCAAGACAAAGGCAAATGTTAAATTGTGGAAGAATAATAAAAAGAATGATGAGAGATATCAAGAGTGTACTTGCTTTTTTTAAGCAGGCACTTACCTTTGACATGGGGTCAGTGTTGGAGCCATGTCAACTGCTGTCACTGAAGTCTCCAGAACCAAGCTTCCCATAATTTTAGGAGAATCATTTTCTTGATCTGGACACTTCCATGCAGTTACCTGCGAATGAATTAAAAATTATATTAACATCTTATGTTAATCAAAGTCAACTTTCTGTCAGAATTTCCATTATTTACATGCAGACTATTATCATCATCTCTGTTGTTATCACATTTTCATTTTTAAAAGAGGCTCTCATTATGATTAAAAAAATAAATATATATATATAATTTGTATATTGGTCATACAACCACTACTATATAACACGAACTAACTTGTCAACCAGATGCCATGACATCCCAAATAAAATACAATTTATACTAGTAAACACTCTACATACATTGTATAACATTAATTATAAAAAGAAATATCAGATACTTGAAACTGATTACCAGAACAAAAAAAGTATACTAAACAAAGTACCTTTCAGATGAGGAACTCAAATTTTAACTAAATTGAAGATTTAACAAATACATATGTTGCACATGCATAATAGCATTCTTATGGTTGAAACATGAATCCCAACATTCTCAAAAGTAAACACCTCCACAGGAAACAGTAACACTTCTGAAATCTTTGACAAAATGAATAAAAATGAAATCATTAGAGTAGAGTCAGCTTGCCTTGAAATCAGTGTTTACCAGTGACTGAACCCTAACCATTAGAACTGATAGAAAGAAGACAACTACTTCAGCCACTGAGCAAGTCCTATAATTTCATTGGTTGAAAACAAATAATGTTCAATGGCACACCAATTCTACTAAAATAAAACATGGATACCAGAGGCTAGTTTCTCTACATAGTCCATAATAAAAAAAAAATGAAACCATATTTGTAATTTTATTTTTATTTATAAAATATCAAAAACTTTATATTGCTCTGCTTTTTCTTGTTGGTTTTCTGAATCATAAACTTAAAATAAAATTATGTCAAGATAACAATTGATTCTCTGCTTTGTGAACCTACCACCCTCATCACCTGAGACCACACACTTGCCATCAAAGACTTATAAACTTCCACTCCTTTTGAAGTGGTGACATTGTAGTCATCAGTCAATTTGCGTAGTAGGATGCATATATATTGAAAAGAACTATTTGTTCAAGTCCATCTGGTCAATCTATTTAAAGTGATAAAAACATACATTAAAATAAAAAAATAACATTAACTGAAAGTGCTAATATTGAAAAACATGACTAACAAAAAAATGCACCTAAACCAGTTTATCAATTAACTAAAAAGGACACCAAATACCAAATATTGCATAATAAATATATAACAATTACAGGCTAATTACATTTAAGGCTAACAACATTCCTTCTGCTTACAAAGAGATGGTGGTAGGACTTGATATCAACACCTTAAGTGAAATTCAGAATTTGCTTTCCTTGGCCCTGAGAAGAAAACATCCAACAGAACCCTTGCCCAAGTTTTTCACTGGTTGGCCAGGGATCATACCCATGTTACATTTCAATTCTTGATCTTGGTGTGCACCAAAAGGTGGGAAAGAGCTTGCTGCTGCTTACAAGATGAAAGACAAACATCATTTCAAGGAATAAGAATGCAAAGCCTGTTTCCCATAAGCATTTTATTCAGGGCCTTGAATAGATGATAGATGATACTTGGAATAATGTCTGATGTCAGCTCTTGCCCCTACCAACTCTACAACTACTGACACATCCCAACATGTAGCTGGAATTACAAATGGATGACACAGCAACCACATGATGAACAAGATTGTCTTCCACCAAGAGCAGATGAGAACTCTCCCTGATCCCAAGCATAACTGTTAATATAGACCAGCACATGATAATAACATTGATAATAAAAATGACTGGAGTGAGTGACAGACCCATGTGAGGAAAAAAATGGGGAAAAGACAAAGATTTTTATCAGAATCCATGACCAAGAATTGCAGTTTTCATTTTTTTATGAAATTGTTTGGCTAATTCTGTTCCCTTATTTTCTGGAACTGATTTCAAGTCACTTAAATTAAACCCAGTTTCATAAACAAAAATGCTTGATAACGACTGTAGTGACAGTCAAAAGTACTTGAATTAAAAAAACACAAAAATTTACTTTCTAAAGTTTACCAATTGTATAAAACAACTTAGTTGGGAGTTGGAAAAAAAAAATGGACAGAAAGACCAACCTTGTCAATATTGTTCAACAAAACTTGTTTAAAAAATTCTATTTATGGATACAATTTTTATTTTTATTTTAAATAAAGAAATATTAAAATGCAAAAAGGATTAAATGTATTGGTTGTGAAGAAGCTGTTAATATTCATCAGCTGGAGGAGTGAGGTGGGTGAGTGATGAAGTGATTTACTTACTTTCTTATCACGAGATGCAGTGAGAAAGAATTTGTCATTATGTGACCAACAACAAGCCCAGATAACTCTGGAATGAGAAGATGTCTTTTTGTTCACACTAGCGATCATTTTGAAAGGAAGATCTGAAATCAAATATTTTATTAAATTAATTCAATTGAAAACTCACCCCCTGAATGACTATCTCACCCCAAAACAAACAAACACAACTGTTTTTGAAGTGCATGCATTATTATTCAGAAAATTTTAAACATGATCTTCATCAACGTTTAGATATGAAAATTTAACTTGACAAACCAAATACTGTCAAATGGGTTATGTCCTTTGCATTAATAACATACAAATGGTCAGTGAATAATCTGTGATGGGTGCAAAATTTTATTAGGGCTTTAAAAATGGACATTTTAAAAACTATATATAAATATATACAAAATTATATAAAACGGGAAGGGGAGAAAGGAGAAGCAAAAAAAAAAAAAATATAGCTTACCATAAAATGATGGATTGAAAAATACAGGGTGTGGGAGAAATATGTCCCACATAATGGTAAGATATTAGCTAGATGAAGACACCATTGCCATCAATGTCTTACCATTGTGTGGGTGGTATTTCTGACACAGTATAACAACAAAAAATGGCTAATCACCAATCAAGAACAGAAAAGATGCCCACAACAACTAAAAAAAAGAAAAGCAATAAAAATGCTACCAGAGAATCAGCAGTGTATAAATCACATACAGGTATCATTTATGCCCAGTAGCCATTCCTTCTGCTTAGAAAAGGAGGGCTGCTTAGACTTAATACAAATGGTCTCAAGAACTCTCAGATGGTAATCCAAATGTGCTCTGGTGATTACAGTGAAAAAATCCCTAGTGAAAGACTAGGTGCATGTTAGATCATTTATTTAATGTTCTGCAATCACAGAATCATAAGTGCCAACAAGCATATGCAAATTTTCATACAGCCCTCTATGGATTTTAGCTGGTAAATGCTGATCAATTCTAGTCCATGAAACTGATTAGTTCTGCCAATATATACAGCATCACATTGACATCTGGAATTATAAATCATTGAACTAACATGAGGAGGTGAAGAATGTCTTTATGAATGGATTTCTGAAGAGATTAGGAAGAGAGAACAACTCATTGATTGATAGAAAATTAACACAACTGAACATTTAAGATTTGCCAGTGTTTTTCAAAATGTTCTTTGCTTTACAAGGGACCAACTTATAATTTTTGAACTAATTATGCCATGCAGATCCAGCAATGTTGCATCATATTTCTATAGGGTTGGACCATCAACCCAGCTTCCAGTCTAAGTTGTGAATGTGTTATCATGTCTACGTTTAACTTTGTATAATTCAATGATTTTTAACCCTATTTTCAAATCCCATTACTATGGCTTCTCAGCACCCAAGGGCTTTTCCTGCCCATGGTGAAAAAAAAGATGAGTAAAGTTATTACAGTCGTGTTCATGCATGGGTAAAGAATAACAGAAGTACAAACTGACATATAAAAGGATATATATTTCACAGTATACATCGAGAGGTTAACCATGTGTTTGGTCCCTACTTCCTCTGTGCCACTCCCTTCCCGAAGTGCCCTAGCCCTTTCCAGCACAGAGTTGTTCTCCTCTCCCCATAGTAGCAGAATTCTATAACAGTTACCTTGCGGGAGAATCATGTCATTTTCCACTTGATACATCTATCCCTCATAAGCAAAAGAGCATTTGTATCAGTCAGCAAAACCAAGACTGATTTTTAAACAAAATGTTTTATAATTTATAAGTAACCAATGCAAATTATTTTATTGCAATTTTAGATTTTCTAAACTTCAAAACTTCTACAAAATAGTCATTTGAATTTTTAAAAAAATATATTTTATACAAAAAAGATGAAATAAAACTGCATAAATTTAATTTTGAATTGGCAAAGAATAAACACTGAATCATGTCTTTTAATGGTAATTAAATGGAATTGATCTGAGTCAAATATTGGCATCATGTTTCCCAACTTCTGTTGGTTTTACCATTATATTTTGAGGAGCAGTTCTTTGAGAGAAAAAAAAAGGATATTAGGACCAAGAAGAAGGCAAAATAAATAACGTTTGAAGATATCAGTAAAAAGAAAACAAAATGATTTTTGTAAGTAGAAATTAATGCATTTTTTTTCTTTTTGAGCTTCTGAAATATTTTTAACAGCCTCTTACCTCCATCTTGTGTCCGTTTATATAGAGTCCAAGTTCTATCTCTGGAAACAGAAAGTAAATATTGTCCATCATGAGAAAATGCCAACTGTGTCACAGTCAAAGAGGCTCCAGACAGAGTAGCCAGCTGGGTCCACTGATTACAATCCCAAAGAATAATCCCTGCATATTCACTTTTGCTGGCCTTAAAAGACAAAGAAAAAAAAACAATACAGCTTTGTTTAAAATAATGTACCAAACAAAATCTATTTATAACTAATTGTTTATTATAGTAATGATTTGTTTTATATTTAACATGGTATATAATTAGTAAATAAATTTCAAATATTTGTACAAAATATAAAGAAACAATTTAAAAAATAAACATAATTTTGGGTTTTAATAATTGCATTTTATGACATTGGACAGACAAAAATTTTCTATTCTTAGAAGAATTATGTTTAACTTCTAATGTCAGATATTGGAAAAAAAAAAAAAATAAAAATAAACATTCAGAATTAAAAAAAAAAAAAACCTCTGATCCCAATTTTTTCTTTTTTAAAATTTCCCAAAAGATCATAACACAATGAAAAAAAAATATAGTTTTCAAGAGCAGAAGAATTATTCCATTATAATTTATGATGTTTTGACAATTTTATCCTAATTTATTATCAAGTTAAACTGAGGTATAAATTTTCAGTATCCAAGGCTCAGACATGCAAGCAAGCAATCTCCAGCTTTACGTGTGTGTGTGTGTGTGTGCATATATATTTTGTCATCCACAGACAGACTGTTTTGCTGTATTACAGTTCATCAGTGTGGCTAGATATCCGAATGCCTCAAGACGGAATTGAAACCCAACTGATTTAGTATCAGTCAGAGACTCTACTAAGCCATTGGCGTATAGCAGGGATGAAGGTGAATTTAAATGTATTTACAGATAAACACACCAGTGACTGAACTTGATTCGTCTTAACGAAGAGTCTTGCATATATATATATATATATATATATATATATATATATATATATATATATATATATATATATATAATATATATATATATTATATATTATAAATATATGTATATATATATTATATATATAAAGAATCACCTTTCAGGTGCATACGCAATCTGACCACTACTATAAGTTTCATACCTTTAAGCAACCATCAGGCAGTCGGCAGCTGTAATGCAAAATGGGAGCCTTTTACACCCCTAAAAAAGACTAAGAAGGAAAAAAAATATGGATGGTGTTTGTGCATTATGTATAAGCCAACCAATCTTGGTCTTTTAAGAGCTTCTTATTCCTATTTCTAAGCTCTGCCATGAGTACCTCTGTGGCATTTTTTGATGCATTGGCAAAACATTTTCAATTACGTCAATGTGAGAAGGAAAGTTTCCATTTGTGGTAAGTTATGTCAGCACCTGAAGAGGTTTTCGGATTTAGGAATTTTAGATGAAGGATACTCACCCTGTAAGAACAGATACTACACTTTGATCTCAGCCAAACAGCCGAGAAGTGATTGTATTTTCTTGCTACTCCATGTTTGCAGGATGTGACAAAAGGAGCCTGACTGCATGCACCCAAGCCAGGTCTAAATATAGCCCAGCTTCAGCAACCATTGGTGTCACTGGTATCAGTATTACTACCGATCCCCACAATTTAGTGCAATAAGACCAGGCACCTCTCAATAGTATTTTCAGTTGTCTGCAGACAGAGACACAACTGAAAATGTAGTTTATCTGCCTGAGGACAGATACTACACTTTGATCTTAGCGAAAAGGCCAAGAAGTGATGATGACGATATTCAGTCACCCACCCATGAGGGCGTCATGTGGCACAAGGCCTTTTTAACGTGGGCTCTCGGAGCCCGTGGGCTTGGCCAAAAATATGTCTATTGAACCCGTATAAATGGGTTCAGGGTCAGCGTACCTCCCCGATAGAGAATCTGCCCTTCAGCGTAGCCTCATTCGGGTTCCTCCCCACCCGAAGACAGAGAGTTCAACCGATCTGTCGTTCAAGAGTTGAAGTGATGATGACTGTGATAATTGTTTCAGACTGACAATATTGAGCAATGAAAACAGAGTAAGGCAATAGGCAAAAATCCAGTTACCATAAATAAAATAACATTGTCAGCTGAATTTTAAAATTACTATTAATAAGAGAAATGGGATTTTGCTAGCAATTCTTAATACTATAATTATTTGTGTTTCATCAACACCTAAAAATTTGGGCTATGAAATTTTGGAGAAACTTTTTATATATAACATACACTTTTTAGAATTTACAACAGCTAAACTTAACATTTGTTCACCTGTTTATCTGGTTTGTATTGACTAAAAATAAGATTTTATTCCACTTACCTTTTATTTTGAAACAAAGTATTTAGAGCAAACATACAAAAAATATTTACACAAAATTGCAACAGGTTTTATGGCAAAAATAAGCTAACATGTGGAGAAACAGAATTAAAAAAAAAAAAAGGATATTTCAGCAGTTGTTTCTCTGTTGCAACAAAGCAAAAATGAGCATCACTAATACTTCTACTTTGAATTACAAGATGATTCTGTGGATGATGAAGATATCTACTCTGCTGACAACAGAGATGAAACGTCCTTGACATCTATCTTTGACATGGTTAAAAATGTGCTTCATAACTATGTGAACATTTCTTAAACAAATATAGTAATTATACGTCCCAAAGAGCTATTTGAACTGCTAGGTAAGCTTGATTTATTTGGGAAGGATATTAGAACAACCCAGAATTTATACTGGCAGCAAACTGCCTGCATAGAGAATGCATTCAGTAAATAAACAAAATTAGAAAGGGGATGTTAGATAAGGTCATCTTATTCAACAAAATCTTACAGGACTTATTCAACCTTTACAGTGAGGCAATACTGACAGAACACTAGATGTCCTCCCAGCATTTATTATTGGTAGACACAATCTTAACATATGCAAATGATACAATGTTGTTAATAGAAAGGAAACTACTACAGGGACTCTTACAGAAGGTGGTAAAGGAAAGCAAGAAGAAAGGACTAAGCATCAATTGTAAGAATACCAAATGTATGGTTGGCAGCAAATGGAACAGCCCAAGATGTGAATTATGAATTGGAGGCACCAAAATGAAGCAAATACAAAAATTTAATATCTAGGAAGTGTTTTAATAGAGTATAGAAAATGCTACGCCAAAATCCAAAGGTGCATTGCGATAGTGAAAGATGTCTTCTAAAAGGTAAGCAAAGTATTAAGAAACAAACATTTTATTAGAAATAACAAAAAGACTACTGAACTGTTATGTAATATCAATCCTCCTTTATGGAAGTGAATACTGGACAATCTCTTCACAAATGGAGAAGAGACTTGAAGCAACGGAAATTTGATTCTATTGAAAGATAATGAAAATATCATGGACTGAACATGTGAGCAATGACAACAGTTTAGGGAAAATGGAAACAAAAATGAGACTTACATTTGCTATCAGAAAGATCCAATTGAAATTTCTAGGGAACATGAGAAAAGAGTTCTTGGAAAATTTGACACTCAAAGGACATCTAGAGGGACAAGAGAAAGAAGTACATAGCCTACCTAACGAGGTTGTGTAATTGGTTAGCAGCACAGGAATTGGCAGAGATAGCAAAAAAAAAAAAAAAAACACACTTTCAGTAAATAGTATCTTTTTGCTATCAAAGGACAGGATGTTCTGGAGAACCAAGATTATCCATGTCCCTTCAGGACATGGTACATAAAAGAAGAGTTTTAGTGACTAAACTTTTTGTTAAACATTATTTAGTTTGGAATGTAGCTATGAACTTACTTTTGATCATCCCATCCCAAATATAATGGCAAAAAAGACTGGAGTTAATATTTAGTTCTTAAGTACAAGACATACCACTAACTTTCATGCTTAAAAACCTTAATGTTTTTATGCATGAATAATTACTGCTTACTCAAGATGCAAAATTCTCAAGCATAATTATTGATGTTGCTCAAAGAAAATGTTGGAATCAATGAAGCAGTCATCAAATCTTTTGTGGTGCCAAATTCTGAGGACATTCTGAATATTTTCATAAATAAAAGAGCTCAATATTACAGTGAATTTTGAATTGCTTGAGGTATCAAGAAATACAAGATTTTAGTGACAGGTGATTTAAGACTAAAAAGCATTAGTAATATAAATAAAAAATAATAAACTAACTTTACATGCAGATGCCAGAAATTGCCCTTGTGGGTCACTGGCAACAGAAAAAACTTCATATCCATGTCCATAGAGTTTTTGTGTTTCTGGCCATAAGGTATTTTGTAGTAAATGCTCTTCTGTTGGAGGTTCTGAAAACGAAAGCAGAATTTAGAAAATCATTTGCCGAAGAGGCATTAGAATTTTTTCCATTTTATTTACATTTTATCAGTGCTTTATCAAAAAGAAAAGAATCTCTGACAAATTCCTCATTCAGTAAACAAGGCTTTGACACAAATCAAATCTGTCTCACCATTCTCAGACACTGTCATAGATATTTATTCTTCTGAATAAAAAATAATGGCAAATATGAAATTGATATTTTCATAAATCCTTGGCAGGCTTTGTTGTACGAGTCTCTAAATGTATTTTTCCAATTATTTTACTAACATGCAGTCATTCTGGAAAGAATTAGTTTCTGGTATTATAAATATAGGAAACTAATCTAATTTACGTTCAATAGAAACTTAGAGGAATACAAATTACCAATATTTTTAATTCCTCTCTCATTATAGCTTTATCAAGGACTGAAAAACTATACATCTGTCTCTATAATTCCTGTTCTTTTATTGGCCTCTCTCCTTAATGTTTTTTCTCAGATTCAATCATACTCAGTAACACTTTGTGTCTTCTTAGTGACTTTATTACCTTGATTGGGGTAAAATGAATAAAAAAATAAAGGAAAAAAAAAAAACATATACAAACCATGAAGACTAAGTGAAGCAAAATAAACTTCAGGGTAAAGCTCGTTAGGATGGGGTTCAATTCTTTCCTCATCCTCATTAATTTTATCTTTCTCTTGATACACAGCCTTATTGGACAAGCCCAGGGCAGGTACACTGGCTCCTTCAGGGACGGATGAGAATTCCTTAACAAACAACAAAAAAAAAAAAATCTAAATTTGCAAAAAACAAGACCAGGTTTAAGTAATTTTAATAATTCAGATCATGAAAAAGAATAAATAAATAATGAAAAAGAATTAATTTAGACTCAAGAGAGAAATTTCTGTCATCATTTATTTTCAATTTTCTTCCACTTGGTTTTTAAAACTAAAAATTAAAATTTCATCTAAAAAAATAAAGATATTTCTTTTAGAATTTCAGAAAGATACAAGAAAGCCATTCAAATTATTCCTTATATTTGCACCTTAGTGGCTCTACTGCCTTGCATGGGGTGACATGATTTATTTATATATATATATATATATATATATATATATTATATATATATATATATATATATATATATATATAAAATAGCTGGCCACTTGTTTACAAGGATACCCATTAAGGACACATGACCGAGTGGTTAGAAGGTTTGCTTTCTGATCATGAGACCTAGGTTCATATCTTACCATGGTCAATTTGTCAGGAAGATTTCCTGATATTATCAGTCAGGAGGGAGCAATCCTAGCGGCAACTTTGGAAAGTGATTGAAAGCTATACCATGGGTTGACTCAAGCCTGGTGTGTGAAACTGGGTAGATGGTAGCCTTGGGGGCCATTGATAGCTGTGCTAGCACAAAGTCACAAGTCATCGTGGCTGAGAGCTTGAGCGTGCTGGCCTTTTTCAGACTCTCCCCCAAACTATATATATGAACAATAATTTGACACTACAAAGGTTCTTTTGGGAGAGCACTAATCATTTTTTCTCTTCTGGTTTATTTCTGGTGCTTCATTAAAAGATAAGAAAGCCGATAACTCCTTCACCATTTCTTGGACCAATCTTAATTATTTTATAAGCCTTCACGCAGAACTTTTCACTGCCAGTTCAAGAAAGACATTTGGGTCACTAACACGCACAAAAAGAAAAGGTCTCATATCGAGAATATTTAACATTGAAAAACATAAGAAAAAAATTAATTATTTTTAATAATATGTGGAAATCTCCACACTTTACCTGATGGTCGCAAGACCGGAAACACCTGTAGCAAAATTATGGAAAATAAAGCATAATATTTTTTTTAAAAATATCCACATTACAACCAAAAACGTTTGCAGTTTCTCTCTTCTTTTTAATATAAGAAATTTTCTCTCATTGGAACTACTATAATCTCTTCCTTTTATATATATATATATATATATATATATATATATATATATATATATATATATATATATGGTGTAGCAGAAATACGTCCTACATAATGGTAAGACAATGGCAATATCAATCGCTATCTACTGTCCACCTGATTACTTTCTTCTCATCATTAATAGTGATTTTCTAAGTATAGCTTAGATGTGGCACAAGGCCAAAAGTGTGAGGCACCTGGTGAGGATCAAACTCACTACTCAGTTGTGATTGCTCTAGTGAGACAAGCTTGCTAACCATTACACCACATCAAAGTACCCTAGTCATAATTAATGTTTCTGTTTCTAATTCTTCCACACCTTGTAACCCCTTGTGTTTTCGTGGCATTACTACCTTGCTTGGGGTGATTTGGATTAAAAAAAAAAAAAGTGGTGGGCCTTCATCTAGCTAATGTCTTACCATCATTGAAGCAGTCATCAATGCTAATGGTGAATTCATTAAGCAGCTACATCAAGTCTCAAGATTATTAATGCCAATTTTTTTCTGAAATAAAACTCTTCTTTCAAGACTTATGCATATTTTACTAAATTCTTGTAAATGTCCTCAAAGAACTGAGCAACCCAGGAGATATACCAGAAATCCATTTACCTTGTTCTTTAACTCTTGTTCAATATCCAGTTGAGCAATATTACAGAAATTCTCAATAAAATTCTTTGGGGCATCAAATACCCTTAAAACTTTTTCATCAGCAGCAGAGACATATTTGTAGCGATTTAATATCGTGATTCCCTGGAGATCATAACCATGGATTTGAGGACGAGCTATTTCGTACCATGCCAGCTGTAATGGAAAATATTTGAAATCAGTATTGTGTGTGAAGAGTCATGATTGTCAACATCTTGAATGAACATAACACAATGAAAAATTGCCTTCTGTTATTGGATGGATATATTTAGGAGGCAAAAAAAAATGTCACTGAATGTTGGAGAAGATCTACAAGAGGAATGGTAGGAGGAGAAAGAGGAGGAAATAATGAAAAAGTGGAAGGGGCAAAACAAAAAGAATGGCATGACTTGTAAGTAGCTAGGAAGAGACATAGCCAAAAGAAAGAGTTGTAGTGAGAGTGGAGTAACAAATGGAGTAGCAAGAGAGTAATAATAAGAGGATGGTATCAGCAGCAGCTATGTGAGAAAAAGGAAAAGGAGGTCAAGCAGAATGGAAAGGAGTATTGGGAGGAAGGAAAGATTACAAATAAAATGGAAAACATTCCATGGTACCAACCTTCTGTTTAGTCATTACCCAAGCTGCATGAAGACGACAAGTTTGGTCAGTACTGACACTTAGTAGAAAATGTCCACCGACAGGATCCCAAGCAATGTCCTCAACACCTTTGAAATGTCCACCACTTGTTACGGCAGGAATCCAATTTTGCTTCTAAAAAGGTGAGAAAAAAAACGAACAAAATAATTGTGGATACCTTTTAAGATACTTGGCCATTCTTTAAACAACTTTTTTTTAACTAATGCTCACCTAATATAAGGCCTAAGAACCACTCAAGGTAGAGGGTTACTGATGATGTTGGACGCACCTAAGAAGAGGATGTAAAAAGTGCACTGTTAATCCTAGACATGAAGAGAGAAAAAATTGTAGTCACCATGTTGGTTGATTGATTCGTTTTCTACAGTTTATTAACGTTTTGCAGGTTATTTAAAACCAGAAACTTTTTTTTTTTTTGAGATACTAATGTTTTAGTGATACAAGTCTTACTAATTAACATATAGCTGGGGGAGAAGAGGTGAATTCAAACCCTTTTCCAAGGGTATTTGCACATAAGTGAATATAACAAACCCAACAGAAATTGGAACTTGGCTGTCTGATTAATAATTTTGAGACCTTATCAATTACACCACCCACATATCCAAGCTGACAGTACATGGTATTCTCAAGCAGTCACCCATTTAGGTACTGACCAGGTTCGACATTGCTTAACTTTGGTGTAAAAGCTTTCAAAAACTGTTTTGATGTGAAGTGGGCATATGCCTCTCATCATGAGGAAAACATTCTGTTGCAAGTCTGTTCCACAAAGTAACAGTTCTTGGGAAGAAGTTATGCAAGTGGAACTTCCTCCTTACTAATGGAATACGAAGGGAATGAGGATGAGTTGTCCACCATGTATGTGGCATGGTGGGTCTCTACTAAAGTTTAGTGATTCAAACTGTAAATTTTCTTCAAACCATTAATGGCCATTGTAAAGCCCAATTTTAATTGTAAACATTAGAATTAAAATCCAGTATTAATTATAGATTTCCCTAAAACATTCGATATTAATTACATATCATTTAGATTCAGACTGTTATTTTCAGTTTTCTTGTTATTATGACATCCAGCCTTCCTCAGATGTTTGTCAATCCAGGTAAACTTAATCTACAAGGGTAGATTCTTCTTCTACTGTCAACAATGTTCTTTTTCGTTTTTTTTTGCTCAGTTATTACCCGTTTTCACTGAGTCTACTCTACCCGGCCCAGAGATTGAACTTTCAATTATTGTTACCAAATTCACAAACCAACACTTTAATTGACTACACTATTATCCCACAGACAATCCTGAGTCTGTAACTTGGAACCTTAAACTTGCGACTGTTAGCAAGTTTTGTAAATTTGTGTATATGTTTTAGCTGAAGGTGCATGTTAAATATATAAACAAGAAGCAGCATTTCTTCCTTTTATGTTGACTATATTGAAACAAAGTTAAATGTCTCTTAAGTATATCCATTTTCCTTTTTGGTTCAGAAATTATTTATAGGAAGTAAGGGTAAAGATGGGTAAAGATGGTAAAGCTCAAGTCAGTCTTGCTCTGAGTTGGGATGGTGGAATCTCTACTTCATGAGTAGGGCTGCTGAAAAGACATCTGAATGATATCATTGGAAAGTGGAAAGAGAAATATTCTGTCCTTTCCAGAAATGGGGATCATAAAATCACACGTGATCAGAAACCCTTTCCAGTTTCTTTATAACTTGCATCATGTTGTGGGTTTGCGTCATCATCAATAAAGCTATGTCAGACATGGGATTAAACAGAGCTTCAAAAAAGGAAGTCATAAAAAAAATAAATTAAAACAACAGACCAAACCTTCATGCAGATCTGGTTTAAGCATAAAAGTAGATGGAAGGCGGATAAGGAAGGAGAAGAAAGAAGAGGAAAGAGAAGAAAAAAAATCAGTAAGTAAAAAAGAAATCCAAACAAGACGATCTTTTTTGTTTTATTAATTATAGCTTTTTACCTATAACCCATTAAAATGTTCATAATCCCCAAAATGGGATTATGTAGATTAACAGGTTAAGTTATTTAATGCTGAGCACATTACAAGTAAATTAAATTTACTTCATTGATGAACTATGTTGATTGATTGATTTGTCTGTTTAATGGCATGTCAACTCCTTGTGGGTCATTTAATGCCAAAATTAAATTTTCTTGAGAGCTTGCAAGTAAAAACAAATATTATATGTTATTTTACTTTCACAACTGAATACATGGTAGATGATATTCAGCTTTTGTGCATAATTACTAGAGGTGGTGATATGTGTGTTTTATGTTGTAATTTGTTGAAGTCATATTTTGAAATACAATTTGATTTAAGAAATTGTAGGATCTTATATAGACTAATATCATGAAAGTTCCTTTGTGTTTTGTTGTTTGGTAGTATTTTTAACAGATTCGGGTAAAGTCACTACATTTTGTTAGTATGTGCAGATTGTTAGTCATTTTTTTTGGTATAAAAATGTATTGCTGGTATTTTTACCATAAAAATGTATTTTTATACTTTCATAGTGTTTTGTTTTTTGTTTGAGGAGGAGGTGGGTCACTATTTGCCTATAGCTGGGACCCTAACAGGTGCTGCCACCATAGGTCAGTGGGGGAACCTAGGAACAACAGCAATTAAGAGATAGCTCTACACTCCTCAAAACCTTGAATCCCACCGATCAGAGGCCTTGTTGCCGGATGTAGTTTATCGTCATACCCAGGACAACACTGATAAAGTTCCAAAGATACAGTATTACTTTTCATTATTTAACAAACGTTTAAAATGTTTTCTTTGGAAGCCCAAACGGAATATTGCTACCACATCCAGACTGGAGCTGCTCAATTCTTGCTTTCCACAGTTCAAGTTTTTATGTGACCTTGTGGGTGATGAATTATTAATCCACCTCTTGCTACTATCAATATTTTCATGGCAACTATTCAAACAGGCTATGTTCATTAGTTCTACCAGTTCAAAGCTTCACAGCTAGAACCTGCCATGCCACATACACATGGATAAATATTCCTCATTCCCTTCGTATTCCATTGGTAAGGAGGAAGTTCTTCTCAGGTTCTTCCCACAAAACATACTTTGTAGAACAGACTCCTACAAAGACTACAGTCTGAACATCTAGTCTAGGGTCAACCATTACCTATCCTACATATCCACATAATATTCACTTGTGACACTGAGATCTTTGGAGGTTGATCAAACAAAAAAAAGAAAGAATTAAGAGGACAGAGTCTACTAAACAGATGGTAATTGTTGAAACTCGTAAGAAAATGGACTGAAAAGTTGAGAAGAAAATTAAAAACAGAATGCATTTGAAAATCATGTTTTAAAATAAATCCAAGGAGAATCAAACCATAATTTAACTAGACAGAATTCATTAAGATTGAGCAAAACCAAGACTACCCGTCCTTCCCACTTCCTGCTGATGAGAAAGAGACCATTAAGGTTGTTATAACCTAGGGAAGGTTACTGAATAGAATAATCAAACTTACTGAATAGAATAATCAAACGAAGGTTGGTAATACACAATAATACTTAGGACAAGAACAATACATATAAGATTCACCAGTTCTGCATAGAAGTAGTCAACTGTTAGAAGTGAGTAATGTGAATTTCACAATGAATATCCAACTGCAGATCCGCACACCAACACATTCACTATTGTATTTATGGGAATGGGGGCATACCCATTATCATCCATAGGTATGCTATAACAAAGGTATCTGCAAAGATGTAAGATAAAATAAAAACATGTTGTTGATAAAGAGACCAGGGTGGTCAGCAAAATAACATTTAAAGATTACTCTGAATGAAAAAAAAAACAAGAAAAGAAACATTTGGTTTGAATCAGAAGAGAAGTGTCCCCACCGAGACAAGAACCAGCCTGGCATGTTTGTTCATTATATCTATGACATTATTCCAGAAAAATTTTATATCCAAACATTAATTTGGATTCCTTTGGATACAAGTGGATAATATTTGGGGAGTGGCCATAAAAAAAACTCCATGTGGTTGTGGTGAATGTAAAAAATAAAAAAAAATAAAAAAATGCATAGACAGCAGAAAGATAAACTTTCATTTTGGAGATTGAAAATAATTATTTTTCCAAATTCTTGAGTGGTCTGGTCAACTGAGAAATCACAGCATGGGACAAACTGATAAAGATTAATGAATGAAACTCCCTTTTGTTTTTGCTACACCATCTGGAAGTTGGATTCATCACACCAGCCCTAAGAGCAGGCTGAGGTTAGTTGTTGTGAAAGTGGGAGAAGGAAGAGAGAGATTAGTATCACCTATATAGAGTGATGGTGAGATGTGAAGAGAGCTAGAGTTAAGAGGCGGCGACTTGATTGCTCTAACCACTCTCAAAAAGGGGCTGGACAACCCTAGGTTTGGCTTGAGTAAATGTATTTTTATATATCGAATTTTAGAAGAGGTTGATGCTTAGAGTAGAAGACAACTGAACCCATACCCTAGACAACCCCACCCTTACCGGATACAGGACTCTGTATAAGCCAGAGGTTTGGACAACTTGCAGAGACTCCCCAAAGAGGATTCCAGTGTCATTTGATCATAACAAGTGGGAAGGTTTAAAACTGCTGCATACAACAAATCATATTTAAACCAAATCATTGTTACATTTTTAACCAGAGTTAATTCTTTATTCCAAAGAATTCTTTTTAGTGTGGCTCCCAAATTGTCGAACCATCTTCAGTTCAGTTTGTTTCATCAGCAACCTTCTGAATCTCTGAGATCAAAAAACAAAATGTAGCAGTGAATGGTTGTGAACACATAAGTGCCAGATAAGTCCAGTGAAATTGTGCCTACCATCATGATACCAGTGACAAACGAGTCATATATTAACGAGTGAAGAATCAGCCAGATGGTAAACACAATGGCCTGAAGGAACTTGAGGACCAACTCATGGGGGTGACATTAGGTGGTTACTGTTGACAAGGATTGATGAGTGGCATTTCATACTTCTTCCTTTTACATACATACAACAATCTCATTCAATAATCCTCTACCTTGAATGACTCTTACTGGCCTTTTACTGGGTGAACAAGAGTGTAAAAGTATTATTGCTAAATTTATTTTTAATTCATTTCATGCTCAATAAATTACAGGTAATATGAAAAGATTAACTCACCTGGTCAAGTGTCCATTGATGTAGAGCCCCCTGGTATCCATGAGCAAGAATTGAGTCTCCTTGTGGACTAAATACACCACCATACAAGCCTAAAGTATTTCCACCAACCTCTCCAACTCTGATCTAAAATTAAAAAACAAAAAAAAAACAAAGAAAATAAATTTATGTCTGATATTTAAAACAGAGCATGTCTCTCTGCCTGCCTGTGTGATATCGTTTCACAAGAGATCCATCCAATTGATTTTGACCAAATTTGTCACATACATTGTACAATGTAAGAGATGGGTTCTAAGCATAAAAATTCGATAAATTTTTTAAAAAAATCAAAAATTGATAAATTTAACTCTTTTTCCTCCTATTTTGTTCAAACTCCGTATGTAGGTTACTTACATCATGACAAGATCAACGATGCCTCATTTTTATTTCTATGCCACTGTGTTTAGTGAAAAATGAAAAGTCAATTTCAACGCAAATTTTATACTAAAACCTCCCTCAATTTTCAAGCAATCTAATACAAACTTCTCAATTGTAGCCAACAGTAAGTTGATTAACAGTCATTTAACTTGATAACTGAGTCCAGCCAGAGAGTGAAAACCCATGTAAATAGCAAAAAATAACAATTTTTACAGGTTTCTTTCTTTTTTTTTTTTTTACAACCAATTTTCATTAAACTTAACAATTGCTTTATAAATGTATCCTCTTTTACATCCCTGGTAGCACACTGACAAATTGAATTTCAAAAAAATAATTGTGGTCTAAAGTGGGTCTTCATGTTGCCTGTTTTACCTTTCATATCCTCGGCTAATTTTGATTGAATAAATACAGACTACTTCTGTTATATGAGTAACTCTATTAATTCAAAATGTTTTTTAATGAAAGTACTTTAAAGTAATAGAAGAGAGACTGTTACATCTAAACATGATGCTGTTTTTGCTCCATTCTAATTGAACAGCTGGGTATGGCTGCTAGTATGTATATGTGTGTGTGTATATATATATATATATATATACACACACAGTTTGTAATCATATATCATACAACTTTTGAAGACCCAAGATTCATGATAGAATATATTTTTGGGTTGGATGATAAGTGAGGCTGTACATTACATGAGTATATATATATATATATATATATATATATATATATATTTCTGTGTATTTAGGCAGTAAATGTTATTAAAGGCAACAGTTGTTTTGTATTGATTAATTTTATTGATTAACTTTTACAAATTATGAATAATCCTTCCCAGATAAGGAGGAAATTCCATCAGAAATTGTCCAAATATTAATTGACACAAAATATATATATATATATATATATATATATATATATATAGAGAGAGAGAGAGAGAGACAAAGAGAGAGAGAGAGGGTGTATTTGGGCAGCAGTTTTTCATTTATATATGTTTGGTTAAAGACCAACAAAAATTGCTTGTTAATTTTTTTTTTTTTCTATATTTTGACCCTTTTTCTGGTTCCCAAATATATTTCAATATAAATTGTCTGACATCTGAAAATTTCAGGTTTCACAAATGTTTAAAGAGTTTTTGTTCTTTTTACTATGTCAGTTTCATCATTTTCATATATTACTTATTTGCATTTTTACGTGACAGCATTTTGATAACAAATTTATATTAACAACACACAAAGTTAAAAATCCAAGAAAATAACATTGTTTTTAATTTCACATATGAACTAAACATTGATAACAGAATTCACTTTTTTGAATTCTCTAATTGATTTGAATATTGAATACTTTAAAAGCTTAGTCTATAGAAAAAAAAACAACCAACCAAATCAGGCTGATGCTTTTTTAACTACAACAATGAATGCCAACACAGATAATAAATAAATCATATTTAATGTTGTATATACGCATAATGTTTTAATAGAAACTCAGAAACATAATATAAGTATTAATAATAATTTCCCTAACAACATAATTGATAAAAAAAATTAAACAAATCTTAGAAATGATAAAAACAAATAATAATATAAATAATAACAATATAAAAAATACCATTAAACCATTCTTCAAATTCAAACCACACAATAACCACAAATGAGGAATAAAAAAAAAGAAACCTAATACACTGATAGCACCAAACAACAAAAACAAATTAAACTTATCACTAATTGCAAAAAAATTAAAAACATCCAACATGATCATCACCAATAAATACAATCAAAACTTCAACAAACCAATGTTGTGTATGAATTTGCTTGTCCACTTGGAGAATTTTTTTCTAACACTAATAATAATTCAAACACATACATTGGTTTCACAGCCACTGCATTATCATACTGACTGACTTGTCATTCATCTAATAATAGTTCAATTAAATCACATATCACAAACCACTACCTACCAATAACAAAAAGAACCAAATCCTTACTAATAACACAAAAATACCGTCACAAACTGAAAAAAAATGACTATAAATACTAGAAGAATTAAGTATAAAAAGCAAACATCTATAAAAGGTTAGCAAATTTAAAAAAAAATCATTCTAAATAAACTTCATTAAAAATAAAACAAAGAAACAGTAACAGAAAGTATTAGATGAAGATTAAAAATAGTGGAAACCTTAATAATAATAAAAAAAAAGAAGCCAACACTCAATAATATTAACTATGGACATGGCCACAATGCGCTGTTTGGAAAATAAAACATCTCTATAACTCTAGAAACATACACACAATCCATACATCCAGTTAAAAAGTAAAAATAAAATCATCTTTGATGACGGCTAAAAGAATAGCCAAAAGCACTTGGAATTACAGAACTTTTGGACAATTTCTGCACACTCTGTATCCAGAAAAGAAAACATTTGTTCAAACAAAGATAAATTAAATAAAAAGCTTAATCACAGTACCTTGTCTGTTGTATTTAATGAAACATGTATAGATGATGGATTGCTGCCTATATATATATATATATATATATATATATATATATATATATAAAAACATGTTGAAAATGTAGGTGTAGTCATTCATTGTACTGATTGAATGTTTTAATAATAAGTAATAGATTGTTTAAATTTTTGGTCTTAGAAAAAACATTTTATATAAAATCAAACAAAAACAGAAATTCAATCTTTCTTTTCTACTCTAAAATTATTTTTCTATTTTCCATCTCTGATAGAATTTATACAAAGCAAAAAAATGAAGTCAAAGTTTGTTTTAAAATAAAGTTATTTTGAATGAACTTCAAAAGAAAGCATGCAAATGATCAAAAGTGGAAAATGCTGTGGTTAAGAGAGACATCAAAATGGTTAAAATTACAATCAGAGTTCTACTCACTTGTTCTACCCAAACTCCAGCATCTTCATCAGGAGCCCAGATAATCATCGTTTTGTCCATCGAGGCAGTCAAAAGCTTCATTGGTTGATGGTAACCATTTTCTATCAGTGAAAAACATGTAAACATATGTATTTGTTATTACTATAAACATCATATTTAGTTATTTATACTAATAAGAAATGATGTCGGATAAAAAAAATCCATTAAAAAATGACTGTTGTTTATGTTTCAGGTACAAAAATGAAGCTAATAAATATAGATTTGGAGAAGTTCTAATGAGAGAGGTAAATAGTGATATAAAAAACAGAGATAACAATTCAAACATTTACAGTGATCAGAAATAATGTTGAATAAAAAAAAAAAGTCCTTTGAAGAATTACTATTGTTTACATTTCAGGTACAAAACTGAAGCTTGTAGATATAGATTTGTAACAGTCCCAAGGAGGAAAAAAAGAAACATGCTTTCCTCAACAGACTATTCTAACTTTGTCCTGTTAGTCTAGCACCATGGCCGAACTGGGACAGGCACACTTTGGCTTAAGTGGTTTCTCTGAAGTAAAAAAAAAGGGATGCAGGTTTGATATATACAGGTTCAAATATGTTGGATAAAAAAAAAAAATTTAAAAAAAAAAAAAAAAAAAAAAAACACTATATATATATATATATATATATATATATATATATATATATATATATATATATATATATATAAAAACTAAATAATGAGATATTAGCAAGTGTATATGCGTGCAATAACTTGTGTACGCAAATAAATATTTATTTAATTTATGGTGCAAACAAAACAGTGCTCAATGTAGTTAAACAGAGCTATGAAGCATATATTAATAAATATACATATACCTATGTTTGTAGTGCAACTTAAAGTTTCATAGCTTCCCAAGTTGTCAGGCACAAATAGCAAATGAACCCCTTAATACAGTTCTTTCTTTATATGTGTATTTATTAATATATATTATTAGAAAATCTCTTTAAAAAAAAATCACATAAGTTACCTCCCTTGCATAGAGGTAAAAAAAAAAAAAAAAAATTTGAATTTACATTGTTAACACGTATCACATCCATAGATATGCAACCCTTGAATATGGTCTCAGATGAGACTGAAAGTATTTAGGAAAATAATTATTTGAAAGAAAATTTTGTAATTTTTCTTCATCAATTTTCTACAGCCACCAAGAAATTAATTTGTGGACTTGAAAGGATTAAAATTAAAATAAATAGACATAATGTCTAAATTATTTAACCAAACATACTTGAATAAAAATATGCTGCCTATATATATATATATGTGTGTGTGTGTGTGTGTGTGTGTGTTTTAAGGCATGCTATATTTATGGGTTAAAGTGCTCAGTATCAGGGATATAGCGTATGTAAATATAAAAGTGGACATTGAAGTCAACACCCAGAGGCAACAGTTTGTTTCATGCTAAACGCAATCATCAGGCCATATAAAATACAAGTAGAACCTCATCAGCTTTTCTATTGACTGGCTGATGATTACATTACAGTCTCGTTCATATCAGTGCGCACAGAGGGTGAGAAAAGAGTTTGTTACACATTCACAATGAGACAAATAAAATTAAACATCACAGCAAGAAATGAGAATTTAAATCCTGTTAGCAGTATATTTATGAGTTTTATTCAGGGTTTGATTTGCTTGGTCTGTCTGGGTAGGTAGGTGACATTTGGGATAACTTATGCCATGTTGAATTATCTAATCATTACCTCCCTCTTCCTTTTGACTCTTCCTCTTACCAACTCTCTGCCCATTGCAATGTCACAATGTGTGGCTGGCAATATGAAGGGACCTGAACTACCTAAGGGAAATGTTTGTTTTCCCCCAAGAGTAGACCAGAATTGACCTTTTTTAATCTCAACTACTAATATAGACCAGCAGCCAGAAATCATCAATGTCTGTTTTGTTGCCACTTGACATCAACAGCTTTTATTTCTTTTTATTCTTTTGAGATTGAGATAAAAATCCCTTTTCCCCATCTTTGTGATTGTCCCAATTAGTATGTTACAATATTAACTTTCCACACCTTGATATATGGATTTATTTATAAAAATAAATTCAAAGCTTTTAAATGATCACCTCCGTTTTCAACCATACAATTCACGATAGAATTATTCTAATATTTTCCATGTCACACACCGAATATCACCCCATTATCAAGAAAAACAAGAACATTTGAGCCATATAGAACCACACAAGTGAATGTAACAATGTCAAGATCTCATTATTAATTTACATTTTATTACAAAATGCATAAAATGTTACAATCTGACTAATATCAAATTTTTGGTCAGTATCAAAAGGAGATTGTATTTTCTTACCATCAGATAGCAGAAAAAATGATTTAAATAAGACGAAAAAAAAAAAACAATTTCTAAGTCGGCAGTAAGTTTGGTTATGTGGTTCTGGATGCTAAGCATGTAAAAAGGAACTTAGGAAAATATAACTTTCATTAAAATTATAAAACTTTTTCTTACATATTTGATATTTTTTAACAATATTGATAATTTAATGTACCTGAATTTAATGTATTTTTTTATCATATCATCCCAAGCCACTAAGACACAAGGGGTTACTGAGTGTGAAAGGATATGAGAAAAAGAAAAACATTATTAAGGAGAGAGAACAATAAAAGAAAGAGGAGAAGGTAGAAAATAACAACTGGCATTGCATTTATATTTTTGAAGATCAAAGTTGATTGAGAAGCCAAAAGCCAAAAGAAATTTCCCTAAGCAAGTGGCGTGTGAGAAAAAAATATACAAAAATAAATTTAAGAAAATAATTTTCAAATTGGATTCATAACAGACATTGATATTAATACATTGAAGCAAATGTTGACAGATGAAATTCAGTAAAATATTCAAGCAAAAAAACTAAACACGGAAAATACTCCACCTTTGACGAGCTGCATGTCAAGGTTTGATGTTTATCTAATGCTAAAACAAGTTAGAAACTGAGAGTGAAAAATCCCCAGGGGTTATCAAAAATCCCCAGGGGTTATCAAAATTAAATTCAAATGTTTGGCAATAACTGCATTATTATTATTAACAATATTGTATAGTGTTGAGTGATTTTTACCCGTTTTGATGGTTGGGTGCCAATGAACACTGTATATCCAACCTTCATGACCATGTAAAACTGACTCCAATGTTACAGTGTAATTGTGTTGAATGCCTGCCAAGTAGAAGAAAAAAATTGTTTATGCTTGCCAAGTCAAATCATTTTAAAGAAGATGCATTGACATTAAATACATAAATCTATTAAATTTCTAGAGAAAGAAAAAAATTAATAGGAAATTACTTCTTACTAATAACGAAGACAAGAAAATCAATATCATTTATAAAATAAGAATATCTTCAAATATTAACAAAGCAAATGTTTGTTTTATTTTTCCTCTAGATTTTCATCCAATCAGTTTTTTAATCTTAACTAAATTCTCAGAAATTGTTTATAAAATGAAAATCATTTTGAATTGTTTGAAAATTTCTTCCAGCCAATATAAAAATATTTTTGCATAAGAAAAAAAATTTCAACTAAAAGTTGAAATTCTCAGTAACAGCCAGTTTAAACAAAAACCTGCTATCTCCATCCCATAATAACTGTTACATTTTCATATTTTTCTTTTACTTATTGGCAACACTTATTAATCAATAAAAGAAAATGTGTCAAATGGGACAGAGATAGTAATATTTCTTAATAAATGTTACCAATAATACAAAAAAGATAAAGGCTAATGTAGCAAACATAATTGTACAGAGGGAGATTATAGTTTTTATGGCTAATAAAGAGATTAACATTCTAAAAAGAACATATCACGAAAAGCAAATGAAAGGAATATACCCACAAAATGCTTGAAAAAATTTGTACATACCTTTTGAGTGGAAATTCAAAACTTTCCCCTTCATTTTCAGGTTTTCTGTTAAAGGAAGTTCGTGGACAGATGTTTCTTGAGCGTTGTCATTGTTGTCTTCAGATTTAGGAGAAATGCACCAAATACGAACAGCATAATCTTGTCCACAACTTGCCAGAAGAACATCTCCTTTGTCTGCAAAGAATAGAAAGCTATGATATTATTTATTAAATTTTCTCCAATATGGCAAATATTGGCATGCTTTTTTCACGTCCTTTTGTAAAGTTAAAATGCAAACAAAAAACCAATTATAGCCAAAACATTGTGTCTGCAATAATAAAAGAATATAATAATCAAACAAGATGTGAACAATCGTTAAAATAAATAAATGAATAATAATTTTTTTCTAAAAAAAAAAAAAAAAAAAAAAAAAAAAAAAAATCCAAGTAATTAGCCATTTCTTTTCTGCTAGTTATTTATTTTGTACAAAAAGAAGAGTTCCCTCCCTTTCCTTATGGATTGGAAACCTGATGAATATTGTTGAATGAATCTTTTTGAAATGTGGTAGAAAGCAAAAGAACAAGTTCAATTATCCAAACTCTTAATAAATGAAAACAGGGTTTCGTAAACAAATACAAGAGTTTTCTCCCCTTAACGTCTGGTGGCAACATTTTCAGAAAACGTTTTTAAGAAGCTTTCACAATTATACAATACAAAATATAAATCAGATAATTTTACTAACAAGTTTAATGTTTCAGTAAATGATAGATAATTACAATTTCAGTTCAGAACTCACCATCTGTACAAAACTGAACACCACGCACCCAATCTTCATGTCCAAAAAGAGAGAGAGAAGGCATGAACTGCAAAAGGGGAAATTGATGAAAATAATCATTACTTGGAAAAAAAAAATAAAAAAAATATCTTTATTTTACTTTTAAGATGAAGCAAAACATTGTCAGCCATTATTATTAATTATTGATTAGTATTTACTTTCATCTTCATTTTTTGTCATCTATTATTATTAATTATTGACGAGTATTTACTTTCTGCTTTTTTTTATAACTTTACTCAAGTCATCAATCTATGACAGTGAATATATCATGTAAATCAGAAATTAAGGTTTTGTAAAATTTCAATTTACATTCATTTTGCTCAAATTATACTGAAGTTAATCTGCGTTTTTTTTCTTGATAATTTCCTCTCAAATATATAAAATGCAATGTGTGTGCACGTGTGTATAACCCTCTTCTACATACAAGAAGATAACTGAATAACAAAATGGAAAAGAATACTAACATGTTTCATCCTTCAAAAGGACTTCATCAGACTAAAATAACATTCTTATTGATGGAATTATATATTAAACCATTTTGAACAATAAAAATCAAAATATAGATATTTATTCATTTTTGTCATTCAATTACTTACCATGAGTTTGATATATATATATATATAGAAATAATATAGATTATATAACATATATATAGAGATTATATGGCACATTTCTCTCATCAGAGTAGCAATAGGATTTTATATTAAAATAAGAAGACTTAATAATTCTTCAATGTTGAATAAAATGTGATTTATCAATTATGATGGAGTAGGGGCATATTTCTATTGGTCTTTTATATAAAAGAGTTTTTTTTTTTTTTTTTGGAAATAAACAAAATGCCACAATTTACATTTCATATTCAGGAAGTATTGAAGATAAATAAAAGAATGCAGAGCAACAAACATTTAGATATATTATAAATAAAATGTGGCTGTAAAATTACTTAAATACTGCTGTCAATTTTGATGGTGTAGTTAAACTATTTCTTTTCTATTTAATAATACTGAATTCTATCTCTTTATATTATGGAATATTTTATTTTCTATATACAAGTCTCTTCTATTATTTTGTCCAAATTCATACACACTTCCCATCTCCATGTGTGACAGAGACAAACTCTACAGTAAACATCCTTCATATTGTCATATCAAAACTGGAACTCAAGGGCAAAAGTCTTCTGAAATGTTCAAAGAATATGACTGCTAATTTAGGTCTCAGTTTGCAAAATTGAATAAAATTAGAATATGTATTTTTTACAGGTCATCATGCATAGTTTATGCACAAATTCACAATAAAAAAAAAGAAGTCAGAATTATTAAATTCATATTTGAGAATTTTATCAAAATTAAAATATATTTTTGCTGTGCTCTCTTCAAAAGTAAAAATTTACTTGAACCAAAAGTTGTTTTGTGTCAACTTTATTTGTTACTTCAAACAACATGCATCATACCTGGAGAAAAAAAACAAAAAAAACACCTTACCTGATTTGACTGCCATACATATAAATGAACCTTTTGGTCATCACAGCCACAAGCCATAATTGCACCTGTCATGGAACAGATTTCAAAATCAGCAAATGGTTTATATTTTGTTAAAATACTTTCTTTATAATTTATATTACATTTCTTTTTTTCAAAAGAAAATTACCAATTTTTTAAATCAAATATCAGACTAAACTTAATTAACAAGAGATAACATTTAGAATCAATTGTCAGCAAAAAACTTTCTTTCAGTTTGCTGAGAGAGGGGGGGGGAGAAAACACAGAGAGAGAGGGAGGGGAAGAAAACACAGAGGGAGGGGAAGAAAACACAGAGAGAGAGGGGAAGAAAACACAGAGAGAGAGGGGAAGAAAACACAGAGAGAGAGGGGAAGAAAACACAGAGAGAGAGGGGAAGAAAACACAGAGAGAGAGGGGAAGAAAACACAGAGAGAGAGGGGAAGAAAACACAGAGAGAGAGGGGAAGAAAACACAGAGAGAGAGGGAAAGAAAACAGAAAGCGAAGAAGGAAACAGAAAGGAGAAAGAAAGAAAAAAGAACTATTAATGACGAACCTGAAGAATTTGCAACAGAAACCAAAGAAACATCAAGTGCAAAACCATTCTTAAATGACAGCGTTTGGATATTTTCAAAATCTGACAAAAAATAAAAAAATAAATAAAATACATCTGTATTATTGGATTGCTGCTTTAAGATTTCAGTTGTAGTATTTTGAAACTTATAAAAGAAAGGTTCTAAAAATGAAAACTAAATTGAAACATTTGTAAATAAAAAAAAATTCTAAAAGGCTAAATTCTCTGAATAAATTTCACATAAGTTGAAATTGCCCAATGAATTTGTACAAAAGTTGAACTGGGGAAAAAAGAAGGGAAACAACACTATCAAGTATTATTTATTTTTTAAGCATTTCATCCCTAGCAAAATGAGAGTGCTACTAGCATGCAAGGGGTTACAGAGAGCAAGATCAAGAGTAAAGAGGGGGGTGTTTGAGGAAAGGATATAGAAAAGGATGGGAATTGGGATCAAGGCATTAGAAGATGTCGATTGAGATTACATTTGAATATTTGAAGATTATAGCTATCAGGAAAGCAAGTAAGAGGAAGGGAATTCCACTGTCGGGAAGTGTGAGAGAAGCAGCTGTTGGAGTAGAAGAGGTGGTTACATTTAACTGTTTTGATAGTGAAAGGGTAGGACCAAGATGCCAACCTAGTAGCATGCTTAAATACATGGAGTTTGGGTACCAGTGAAAGTAACTCGTCAGAGCAGCTGCCATCAAAATATTTGTGGAAAAGACAAAGGGAAATCACATCATTTCTGTGAGAAAGTGACTGTAGATGAGATGCCAGATCAGGACCTATTATATTGCATATTTGTCGCTGGATTTTGTCAAGGACCTCAAGATGAACAGCAGGGGCACTAGACCATATTAGAAAATATTCTAATTGTATATTTGTTGATAAGGTTTGAATTAATTAATCAGCCATATTGGCCATTTACTAAATTATTGGTTATATAACAACTGAATGAATTGGTTTTCATATTTAGTCATCCTTGTTTATTATATCACAAAAATTTCATGCCTGGCTTAATCAGCAGGTATCCCAGACAATATCAATAATATCCTGATAGTTTTTTTCATTAATTTTTAAACATAATGCAAAAAAAAAAAAAATCAAATTTTTGACATGAAGAATTCTGATTATTATATGTTTTATTATTTGAACCAGTTTCATGCTTTTGTTGGACATTGTACGATTCAGGTATGTGTGTTGTAATTATATTTGACAACACATGATGAGAAACTCTGAACAGAGCCCTTTATTGAATCTAATTTTTGTAATAGAAAATTTTTGGTAATTTTCATTCTGAAGGTGGGAGTTGTTGCAAAGCAAGCTAAACAAATTTTGATTTAAAATTTATAATTTCAAAAGAGTGCTAAAAATTTAATTAAAAAAAAAAAAAAAAAAATCAATTTTTGCGATAAGCAACTTTACATTATTTGGGGTGAATTGACAGAAAAGATCCGTAAAAGAGATGGCGCCAACACAAATCTTTGATTTGTAGCTAAAATAACCTTTAAGAATTCTAAGTAGTATTTTTAAACTGAAATTACAACAGGCATTACCATTTGCCAACTCTCATATAAATTTTGTCATTAAATTGGATGATACATATAAGAATCAATGATGAGCCAACTGAACACAAATTGATTTCACATGGCTGAGGTATTGACTCATTTGGACAAGTGTGTCCTACTGTGAGTTCTAAGGGCAAAATTTGAAGCACACATTTTGCCACAGATGAGTTAGGTGTGTTACTTGGGAGGTTGAGGAAGCAGCATGTTTCCCTGCTGGTCTCTTAACTTCTAGTTTTTGCACTCTGTCATTTTCAAATTGGATGATACACAAGAAAAGAAATAATAAATAACACTGGACAACCCCACTCCCTCTTTCCAATTACTTTGGTAATTTCAGAAAAAAAAAAATAATTGTTACAAGTGATGGTTTTGGCAAAAAAAAAAAAAAAAAAAGAACCTCTAGATTACTTTTTAGAATTTTAGTAGATATTGCCACGCCTTTATTGAATTGTTATTTTTTTTTTTTTCCACAGTAAACATACTTACCTTCAGAATTCAGACGATGCCACACAATGACTGTAGAATCAGCTGAAGATGTCACCATGAGAGTATGGACTCCATTATTTGGTGTTTTATTTTCCATTTTCAAGTTGGGAACTTCCAAGGCATCCACAACAGTCACTGATCCATTATGGCCAGAGAGAACTTGAGATAAAACATACTGCAAAAATAATGTGGACATTTTATTTTCATGGAGAAGAAGAAATTTTGTGTGAATAACTTTTTATTATTCCCTCAAATATATACATTTTTTTTTAATTGTAGAGATTATTGCAAACTTTGTCAATTCTGTTTGTTGGGCAAGTCTGCCATTTATTTACTTTAATCATGGCCACTCGTTCTACATTAATTCTTCAAATAATAAAATTCTTAAAAAAAAAAAAAAAAATAACCAAATTATATTTAATTATTTTTCTGTTTATTGTAATTTAACATTTAATAATATCTGAGCTTGACATTTTTTTTAGAATATTTTCTTTACAAGATCAAATTTTGGACAGACATACTCTTAAATCCTCTTCTAAGGATTCTAGCCTTAAACCATTTTCGTTTTTAATATTTTTTTATTGCAGAAAAGCTTGCTTCACAAAAATATGATGTTGAAAATGGCAGAAGTATTTCTATATTTTGTTTTTAGTCATTTCACCCCAAGCAAGATGATAAAGCCATTATGACACAACAGGTTACTGAATGTGAGAGAATTTAAGAAATAAAAACACTTTTAAAGGGAGAGAACAACAAAAGAACAATAATTAAGATGACAGACGATAACAACTGACATTGAATTTAAATTTTTGAAGATCAAACTTGACTGGGAATTAAAAAGCTGGAAGAAAGTTCCACAAATGAGAATTGCCATTGAAGAAACTATTAGCATAGAATTTACAGTTACATCTAGCTGCCATTTCAACTGTAAATTGATAAGATCTTGTTGTCAATCTAAAATACTACAACTAAATCCTTAAAGTCTAGGTACCACAGAAGAAAAATTCATCAGAACAGTTACCATGACATTGCCTTTTTTGTAATATTTGGAAATTCATCCTTAAGAAATAACAAAAATGACATAATCTCTCTTGTTGAATATATTAATTGCAATCCAGACATTTTTTTCTTGTCATTTCTTCTGTTAACTCTTATATATAAGTTTATTTATTATAACAATGATAGATATGAATAATCAATTTAAAGGGGGTTGAATTCCGAAGATTTTTCTTCAGGTAAGCATCAGACAAAAAGGTACCTGAAGTTTCTATTTTTAATTGAGACATTACTTTTGTATCCGACTTTCTGATTAATAAAATGTTCCCCGTTTTAAGAATAACACTTAGATGGTGTGATACTAAAAACCTTTTCACATATTTTCAGGATCATTACAGCCACAATATGATTAATACCCTAAATAATACCATCTGTTTGAGTGATAAATTATGGTTCCTTCATTTCAGAGTTAAATTCCTCAAGTGCTATCCCCAGAATCATGTTATCCCTGGGTATATTTCTAGGCGCATCTGTAGGATCAAGTGTCACAATTCAGTTAATGATGAAAGAGCATTTCTTAGAGATGAAATCTTGTATTACTCTGACACAGTAAATTCCTTAAGAATCCAGTATCAATCACTGTGGATCATTGGCTGGTCTACACTATCTTTTCTTGATAAATTCAGTTTTTCAAAATATCTATCCAAAGGTGATACTTTCTTCAGTAACAGAAGCAATGCTAAGAGTTTAGCACATCTGGCCAAACGGTTGGTTGAAGTTCTTGATCCTATTTTGTAGTTTTATTCTGAATATTGTATTCTAGACTTGTTCCAGTTTACATCTGATATATGTAAATTGCAATGTACTGCTGACATGGAGTTTCTCATGTTTTTTCATATTTGTAGTCTGTTTATGAATGTCGCTCTTGATGAGACGATTGATATTTGTACTGATTATTCGTATTGTGGCCCCTTAAAGCCTCCATCTTTTCATGAGACTGTCAAGCTGATGGAAATGGCTACTTAATCAGTCTCTTTCAGCTTGGATGATAACATGCATTGATAGATTGATGGGATAGCAATGGGTAGTCATTTGGGACCTCTCATAGCCAATATTTTTGTAGGGTTCCATGAGAGGCAACAGTTTGATAAGGTCCCTAAAAACCATACTGCTATTTCCATGAAGTTGATGATACTTTTTCATCTTTTTCATCACATAATGAATCAGACAGGATTTTTTTCAACATCTAAATAGTCTCCAACCCTCTTTACAATTTTTGAGATGTCAGCGAACACTCGTTTGACACTTTTGTAATGTCAATGAATACTCATCGTCACTTTTGTAATGCTTATTGTAGTAAAGACTTTGTAATCAGAGATACAACTTATAGTACACCGTTGAACAATACTGGTGTCAGACACCTTCGAATATAACTTGTACTAATAGATCCGAATAGTAATAGAGGATAGAGTAGAGAATAGAGATCAAAATAGTAATAGAGGATAGAGTAGAGAATAGCGGTCCATATAGTAATAGGGGATAGATTAGAAATAGAGATCAGAATAGTAATAGAGGATAGGCTAGCATATGACGATCAATTAAACACATGTTACTTCCCATATATGCGTTTCCACTATGGTCATGTGGTCTACTTAGTTCAATAGCGTGATCACCTGTGTTTGCTCACTGGTGATCTATGTTCAAACTCAAGTGTCAGCAGTGACACTTTATTCCTATATAACAACAATTTATAATGGAGGTGGAGAATAATAAATAATATGTTACTTTTCTTGGGTGTGTTGGTTGAGAGAGCTCCCACTTCTTTTCGCACCAGTGTATTTAGGAAGTCCACTTTTACTGGGTTGTATCTCAGTCTAGAAAAATTAACCTTGTCAAAACACTTACTCATTGTGCATTGATGATATATTCGGAGTGTAAACTTGCTGCCGAACTCAGGGAAATTACCAAAATCTTTCTCATCCATGGCTATCCTGAAGGTGTCATTAAAATAACTAGACTTAAAATTTCTAAGTTTAAAGAAATTAAAACATTTGGCCCACCTAAGTGTCCTGTCTACATGAGATTACCTTAGATTGTCTCAGTCAAATATATACGGATAAGATCTCAACCGTCATGCACTCCTTCAATTCTGTATTGTACATAACATCTTTACTACTAGAAGTGCTTTCCACTCCATCTGTAAAAATGTCTTGCCCACCCATCACAAAGTTTGTTTATTTATCATTTTAAATATCAGCTTGAGGCTGCCTATGTGGGTAAGACTCTCCAACAGCTGGAGGTGTGAATTGCACAGTATGTGCCTGGCTCTGTACATAGACATGCTCTATTAGCATCCGGGCACTCACAGGTGCATAGATCTACCATTGGGGAGCATTTATTAAGTGCTGTCACTTATGGGTCCAATTATGCAGCAGAGTTCTTCTCTGTGCTGCACAAAGCTCAGATGAAACACCATCTTAACATCATGGAGGTGCTTGTGATCAAAACGTCTTGTCTGACTATGTAGGCAGAAAGAACTAAAGCATAAACTGTCACTTTTTGGAGAGTCTTTGTCTCATTCTGGGCAAAGTTTTTTTTACCCAACCCCATCTCTTTTAGACCTATTGCAAGGAGGTTTGTTTTCTTTTAGTAATTTATCTTCATTCCAATGATTTTTCTTCTGACAAAGCATCAGACAAAAAGTTAAAGTTCCTATTTTTAATAGAGACAATACTTTTGTATCCGACTTTTTTGATTAATAAAATGTTCCCTGTCTTAAGAATAATAGATATGTATCCAAGATACGTCCAAAATGTATTCAAACTTATTTTTCCCCACCGAAACTAATGATGCATAATCAAAATTCTTTCTGTGGGAGGTGACGTCATCCTGACTGAGAATGTGTGAAAAGTTTTCCCCCCCGTAGGCTGTGTGTGTTCCCAGCTGCTGCACCTGGAGTACAGACATGTAATGCATGCTTATTGGATTCTCTTTTTCATGTAAGATGACTGAACCTATCAAGCAGAGATACTTAAGCTCAAACTATCCAGAAGATTCAGCAGGATTTTGGGCCAAGGGTCAAAAAACTCAGATCAAGCTTTCCAGATCAAGAACAACAGGCTCCCCACTTGGTTCAACAGGCTCCCCACTCTGCATCATGTCTGGCTCTTTCCAATCTGAAAATTATTATGAGAAAGGCAACAACAGAGCTCCATGGTGTTCCAGACATGTTAACAGCAGTGACAGAACTATTGAAAGAAGTATATGAACTCTCAAGGGGAGTATTTTTAAAGTGATTAAATAAAATTTGTGAAATGTAGAAAATTGATTTTTATGCCCAAAGGTTAGATACTTTTTGAACACACCCAGTGTGTGCGCACACACCCAGTGTATGTGTGTGTGCACACACACACACTGAAACTTTGTAAGAATCTGCAATAAATCATTAAACAGTTTTATTTTAATAAATTTTCATAACTAGTTACGTAAGTTCCCCTTGCAACTTGTTAACCACAAGAATAAGAAACTCACCTGGTTATTTTTGTATTTCCATACTATTGCTGTTTTATCCACGGATCCCGAAACAATTTCATTTTCTGCATCTAAGAAAATTGAAAAATAAATAGTAAAAAAAATAGCAGTCATTATCGAGTGAAAAGAATGCCGCTTTTGTAATATATCGTCACTTAAATCTTTTTATAAATCTAAAAGTTTATTTTATACCCCATTATATGCATATATATATATATATATATATATATATATATATATACATACATACACACAATACACATCCATATATAATACAGTCACATATATAAGCATACAGTCACATATATATATATATATATACATAAATCAAAGCATATAACTTTCAATAAATAATGCAAAATAATTGTATAAATGCAAAATAAAATTCTGTTTATAAGATAATTTAAATATATATATATATAAAATGAAATAATAATAAAAAAAACGAAAGAATATTAATCTACAACCCAGTGTGTCTAAAGATTTTAATTTTTTTATTGTTCAATATGTGTGTGTGTGTGTGTGTGTGTGTGAATGATAGGATAAGATAAATAGCAAATGTTTATAGATCTTTAATTGGTTTCCAGGAGCTTAAAATAATCATAATCTAATACAAGAATACTGAAAGTGTTTGTCATATGAAATACAACTTTACAAGTTCAAATTTTATTAAGTATTTTCATATACAAAATAAGCGTCAGAATTACATATAAGGGAGGTAACTCTAATGAATGCCTTTCTACTTAATTCCCTTTTTTATTGAGCCATTAATAAAAAAAAATATCTGATTTTGACAAGATGACATGCAACACATCCATTTATAATTTCTATACTTCACCTTAATAGGATTCTATTTAAGTAGGAACTATAATAATTATAATACTAAAAACAAAATAAAAGAAAGTACTTTTTGTCAATCACATAATGATACCAATTACTATTTCTTTACTACAAAAATATAATAAAAAATGTATTTGTCTGTCAGATATAGACACAGAAACTATTGGATGGATACATATAGGCAATGTAAAGTTAACCTGGGTGAATCATGTAGGTCATGAAAGGTCAAAGACGCTATCTATTATTGAAGTTAAATTTTTATTCCCATGTAAAAAAATATAGTAGCAAGGGAGATAAATCCACTTTTTGTAGTAAATTAATGAGTGATTACTTCCCTTAGACATTTTAATAAACTGTTCAAATAAAATTAAGTGCCTGCTGAGCATCATTATTATTATTATTATTTCTTGTTCCTTAGACACGTACCTCACCATGGAGCTATGGTTCGTGAGCATAAGAAGCAGATCATTATTTCACTGTCCCAAAATTACAAGTATTTCCCCTCCAAAAAAAACCTATGCCGAAGTTTAATATGCATTTTAAAAAGAAATCTTTCTTGAAACTTTAATTTTAGTTTTAATTCCAAACTAAAAGATTAAATAAATATTCTCAATGAGCAAAGTTTAGATTTATTGAAATCTTTTCCTGATCATCAGTAAAATTGACAAATTCGACCATATTTACAGTTCTGTCAACACAATAGAATTCTCTTTTTTTTTAAAAAAATCTATCAAAAATAAAATATACTTTATAGTAGAAAAACATTTATTTTTAAAAAGAGGCTGTTTTTTTGACATGTTGAGCGATTTACTGACAGCCTGATGTTTGGAAAAATTAAGGGAAACAGAAGTGACAGAAATTACTTGACAAATACTTATACAACTTTTTTTTTTCCTTAAACACCCAGTAATCTTAAAAAATTAAAGCATTTTAAGCAATCTAATATTTTATTGAATTTTTGGTATTTTCGCTTTACCTATGAAGACACTTGTTAAAAAAATGTTAGAAAATTACCAAAACACTTAATTTATTAGATATCTCTCTTATTTATATTTTATCAATTTTTATTATTTATTACATTTTAATTATTATTATTTTGTTACATTTTTATTTTCTTGATTTTATTATTCATTTTTATATTATTTTAATTTTGTAATTAAGATAACATTTTTTGAAATTTTAAAAATATTTTAACTTCCTATATCTTACATGGAAAATGGAAAATGCATTGTAAGGGGTCTTTCCATAAGAAGGAAAATCCTTAAAATATGACTTTTTCCTCTGATAATGTGTATGGGCAAAATCACCACGATCCTGGGGGTGTCGGTATGGATGTCCACATTTCCAAAAATCGATATGTTTATAGTACACAAACAAAAATATTCAAAATTCTGTTTAAGGTACAGTGAGTTGTTGAATTGTAGTTGGCTTTTCTATTTATAATTAGTAAATGCTGTTTTAATAACAATATCACTTGGCTGCTACAAATTAACACAGACAATTTAGAAGCTTGTAAATTTATTGTAATTAAAATTAAGAAAAAAAAATGAAAACAATTCTTGTAAAAATTCCTTATACAACATTTTTTTTAAAAGACAACAGTGTCCATAACTTATTTTATTCATAAAATCAATTAAAAGCTTTTCTAACAAAAATATTTTAGTTTTATAGCACTTTTTATTTTATGATTCAGGGCAGATTTTTTGCAACTAGGGATCCTATTTGATCAAAACAGTTTGATGATTTAAATTCTCCAACGATTAACCTTGAAATACAAAGAAGAATCTCAAATTTTCTTAAAAACTGAAATGTGTGTGGGGGTGGGGGAGCAGGTAACAAATAAAAACAAATTTTTACATAAACTTTCTAAAAAAGAAATGTTTCAAAAAATAATTTCATTCATTTCTGAATAAGTCCTGAAAGTTTCATTAAAATGCAACAATTATCTGATTTTTTAAAGAATTTCCAAATCAATAAGGTTTTCCCCATTAAAAAAATACTCAAATTTCTTGTACAAATTCAATGTCCTGTTTTGATGGTTAAAAAAAAAAAAAAAAAAAAAGGATTTTTAACCAAACTTTCCAAGGTTCTCTACAGAATAGAAAAATAATGTTTACTAAAAAAATCCTTTAATCTTTCCTGTTAATAATGACACAAAGATTTTGATGATAAAACATTTTTTATTATGTTTTGGGCATTTTTGGAGATACCTACACAATTATGTCATTGTGCCAAATAAAGGCTAAATTGAATAAAATAAATTGCATAAATTAAGCTATATAGTTTGTTGCATGTCAGTCATTCTCTTTACCAAGTTTTTATAGCAATTAAAATATTAGTCAATGGTTTAAAAATAAAAAAAAAACTATGTAAATCTGAAAATTTACATCTTAAAAATAAAATGCAGTTCAAGACAGAAGTGATGACTCCAATGACAAACCTTCATTTGTCCTGATCCATCGGACACAGTTGACTTTGGCTTTGTGACCTTTTAAACTACACAAAATGGAAGCGGATGCTTTTTCTTCAGGATTAGAAAACTGCAATAAGAGAGAAAGCATATTTGTGTATACGTGCTCACAAGTTGAAAAAATTGGATTATAGCTGACAGAATGATTAAAAAGTACAAGCAAGACAATTTTTATAAATTTAACATGCTTACTCTATTAAGCACCAGCAGAAATTTTGGGAAATTAAATAATGCTGATTTGATATATATTTATATATCCATCCAAAACATAGTAGAAAATACAAGTATAATAGCCTTATAAAAAAAGATTAAAAATAACTGAAGCCCTAATAATAAAAACGGTAAAGCCAATACCATTAACTATGTGCCAACCACGTTTGGAAAAATAAATAAACATACCTGTAACTTCAGATGCATACATAAAAAACCCAGACATTCAGTTAAAAATAAAAATTTACCCTTGATAATGATTAAAAGAATAACTGAAAGTGCCTGGATATGCAGAAATTTTGGACAGTTTTTACATACTTTGTGTTTAGAAAAGAAACTTATATGATCACAAGAAAAATTAAATAAATGTTTTTTTAATTGCAGTACCTTGTCGGTCATCTTTAATGAAACTTATATAAAAGAAGGATTGCTGCCTAAATACACACACACACATATATATATATATATATATATATATACACACACACAAATATACATTTTTTTTTCCCTCATTGGTAGCATGACTTGGAGTTTCATCCACAATGAAATCTTTAGAGGCTGAATTGAGATTGAGCATTGAACAGGAGGAAAAAAAAATGTATATTTTATTAATATATAGTTTATAGCCTTGTTATATTGTATCAAGCACTATTTTATTAACATCAGCACTCAATATGCAACATTATATATTCATATTATATTACGCTTTATATATATATATATATATATACACACACATAAAATGGCTACTTGTTTTTTAATACACCTGTCTGTTTGGGTGGCAAGCTAGACCTTGTTGCAGACAGTTACTCAGGTACATTTATGTTTCTTCAACACCCACAGAGCCAACTTGGGGTTTATATTGCAAGTATAATGAATGGGATCTTACTTACTGTTAGTGGAATAGATTGCATAATCTAGTGCAATCAACAGTAGAGTACACGCAAACTCTCGGTCATGATGACTTGTCACTTTGTGCTAGCACAACTATTGATAGCATCCTAACAGTTTTAATCTATCACTCAGAAGGTTTGGGTTACTGTATGGATTTCGAGCACTTTCTGATGGTGCCACATGCTGGAATCATCACTTTTTTAAGTTAACCAGTCAGTCATTCACCCATATGCACACACAGACCAAGAGAAAATGAAATTTAAATTCATAATTCTTTAGTCTCTCCGCTTACATTCTCGTATTTGAAAAGCCTTTCATTTTTCAGAAGGCCTCTTTTTTATCAGTATGTAAAATTATAACTGTTTTTTTATTACTGCGTGCCCATAATTACTTTGTCACAATTCAAATCCCATAAGAAGAGAAAAAGTTATTTATTTTCCTTCAATTTGGTCTCGTTATACACACGACGCTATTTTCCAACATTAACAGCTGAACTATTTACGTTTTTATTTAGTCTGTGGATATGAAATAAATAAAAAAATGAACGTACTTGCGGTTGGTAAATAGCCACCGAATTACAGGATCCGTAACAAACCAAACCATTTTTGCCCCAATCTGCTGCATGCGGAGAATTATTGCAGCCACAACTAATGTAACATGTGCTTACATCAACCATATTGGATAACTTCCGCAAGAAACGGTGTTTACAGAAATATTGAACCTAATAATTATTGTTCCGAAGTGATGGTTTAAAAAAAAAAATTCTTTTTAATGTTAAAAATAATTATCTTAATATTAATGATTTCGTAAAAATAAAATATATAGTGCATAAATTTGTAATGTAAATTTCATATACGCAATGCAAATATTTTGGAATGTCTTGTAACTAGAGACTGACAATAATAATTTATTAATAATTAAATACCAAACAAGAAAATAATCCATGAAAAAAAACTTAGAAAGTATAACATCCGAATCCAGGTAAGGAAAAAAAAAAAAAAAAAAAGTGACAGGAAAAAAAAGTCAGAAGGACAATGTTAGCACTGTTTCTGTGGCTTTCTTTAATAGAATTTTTTTTAACCCTCACCCCAGTATTCCCAACCTTACCTTACCCTTAATCCTGAAGACTGTCTGAATAGGGGCAATTTTTGGATCTCAGTACTGTAGTGGATCATTAATACTTGGATTTAGTGAAAAATGATTTTTTTTAGTGAAAAATAATTTTTGCACTTCCTGCCATGGAAATTATTGACAGTAACAAACGTGGTTCAGAAATCAACTACAATAGGTTCATCATGTACCAAAAACATGTCACTCACAGAACAAAATTGTGAATTTTCTTTGTTTTTTATTGCTTAGCCAAAGTTGTGACCATTTTTTGTGACTTTATTACTAACCATGTAACATCCAAGTCCTCAAAAATCAAAGCGTAAGATAAGAATTCCGTAATAAATTTCAACAGCCTGATGTTTGGAAAAATTAAGTAAGGGAGGCACAACTGTCAAAAATTACTTATTAATCAATCAATACGTAACTGTATATGCCTTTTATTTTATTTTAAAAATATCTAGTAATTTTAAAAATGTGAGAAAATATTTTATTGAATTTTAGGTACTTTGGCTTTATAGCCTTACTTATGAAAAGACTTGTTGAAAAATGTTAGAAAATTACCAATAATTATTTAAATTAAGTATTTTACAGTTGAAATAGAAAGTAAGTTCTATGCTAACAGTTTCTTCTGATGTACTTTTTACTTGTGGAATTCTCTTCTGGCTTATTAATTAACTTTGATCTTCAAAAATTTAAATGCATTATCTTCTTAATTCTTGTTATTTATTGTAAATGAAAAAGTAAAAATGCATTGTAAAGGGGTTTGATGTCTTAAGGGGAACAATGCATTATGTTTTGTTCTGATAATATGTGTGGATGCTTATATTTACAAAGATCAATGCATTTATACACAGAAAAATATTCTTAATTCTGTTTAAAATACTACTGGTTTTGAATTATAATGAGCTTTTCCATTTATGACTATTAAATTCTTGTCAAAGTCTCTTAGTATTTCACCTGTAGCTGGGGACTGATAACAGATGGTTTCATACCTTTCCCTTTCTCATATCAAGTTGTTGCTTGCCACTGATTTGTGATTTTGAATTTCTCACAGAAAATAATTCATACATTTACTTTCTTATATTTGAAAAATGTAAACTTATTTTAAAAATTCTTTTTACACTTCTGCTAGACTGTTTCATGCTCAGTCATCTTACTACACACACTAACACATTTGTATTCAGGGATTAAACATGACCACCCTATTATAATTGTGCTTGTCCATCCCTTTGTTAGTTTGTACAACCTTTACGTCCTGCCAATACCTCATAAATTTTGTTTTCAGTGAGTGGAATGAGAGGGGAAAAGACACTACTTGGTTTCAGAGAAAGAAAGAAATTAGGAAAGATAGCAGTGTTTCACGTCTCCTACTAATACCTCATAAATAATGAACAATTCCATTTTGATAGAAAAACAAAAGACATATGCTACTTGGTCTCAATGAGAAAATGAATAAAGGGGAGATAGAAATGTTTATTTCAATAAAATGGAAAAAAGTTTTCAATTTCAAATCTTTTCATTTGTATCCCCTTACTTCTTAAAATAACAACCCACATTCATATTATTTATGATTATTATTGCAATATTTTATTAAAGTTGTTAAGTTCAAATATTTAACAATGTGATAGGGTAATTTCTATGGATATTTTATTGTTGTATAACTCACCATGAGCTTATTCAATTATTAACTGAAGAATTAAAATTCATCAGAAAATTAAAATAGGAAAACTGAAATTTTCATGGGTCTTTCTAATATAATAAAATCTGTCAAACAACAGAATTGAGAATTTGTGGTTGATTCATCAAACATGCCAAACTAACAAGAAACTATGAAGAATATTTATTTATTTGTACAACCCCCACTATTTTTTTTCATTCCATTACAGAACGCAGATCTTTCACAAGCCTGTTAGACATAGGAAGTAATGGACCTTGTCCTACCATGCCAACCCATGATATGTTAGCAGAGTTTCTCATCTAGACTTGTTACCAACAAAGGCTATAGAGGCCAATTTACCTGGCTATTTCATCTATAGCTCAAGAGATTACTTCAGGTCTCTTTTTTTGCTTGAGGTATTGATGTAAGCTCTGTTCCTAGTTATACTAAAAGCAGTGGTAACAATATTTTGCACATATGTAAACGACAAATGTAAAGAATTTTTTTTCCCCCAACCACTAAAACACGAGGGATTACTGGATGTGGAAGAATTAAAAAAAAGAAACTTTATTGTCTGGTTCTCCCTGGTTTTTGAACAGAATTAAAGACTTTATCCCTTGTGTAGTATCATGCATGAAAATGAGAAGGCCAACATAAATAGAGAGCAGTGGGTGAACAAGGGAGGCATTAGTCAGCAAACCCTTTGCAAAACATAACATGGAGACTGATACTTCCCTGCCCAAGGGCTGCGTCCCTGGGCTGGTGGTATCATGGCTACGACTAGCTTGGACCGGCTCTGACCAGTTTGGACCAGTTATGACAAACCAAGACCAGCTATGACTAGCTTAGACCAGCTCTTAGATAGTCATAGCTTGTCCAAGCTAAGACCAGCTTAGACCAGCGGCCTGAGTGAAAACACTCGGGTCCCCACGTTAAAAACTGAACTTGTGTCACAACCTGACTCAGTGGGGGTGGGGATCAAGTAAATATCCATAATGTGGAGACTATGCATACAATTGCTACTACCCAGAGAGAGACACACAACATAACAATGGTATCGCTGAGAGGATCCTTGAATGTGCTGAAAGATCCAGAACATATAGAGACATGGATCAGAACTTTTGCTGCATTTGTAAGAGTAAAAAAAATAAGAGATGCCAAAACTGAAGGAGGAGTAGACAAGATAATGGATTTATTTCTTGCTACTGCTGGGTGTGAAGTGGTGAAGAAATTTTCGACAATGTGTTACCTGAGAAAATTAGAAGAAATGACATTTGAAGAAATTGTCAAAGTTATAAAAAAAGAACATAAGACCAATGAAAAGATTGGTCGTTGCTGAAAGAACCAAGTTTTTAGAGACAAGACAAGCACCAAATGAGTCCATTGTAGAGTACTTACATAGATTAAAAGAATGTGTTAAGTACTGTGAATTTGGAAAGTTAGGAACTCAGGAAATGATCATAAAAGATGAAGGAATTCTTCTCAGAATAATTGAAGCTTTGAAAGATCAGAACCAGAAACGAAAAATACTGGAAGCTTTACAAAGTTGTAACATGAGTTTGGAGGCTAGCGTCGAATTTTTACAACAGTTAGAATTGATTAAGAGTTTTATCAATCAAAAGAAGAATTTGAAGCATACATGATGAGCATAAACAAGTCTATAATTAAATGTAGATACTGTGGGAAAAATCACGAGAGAGACAAATATAAATGTCCCACGTTAGGAAAAGTATGCTCAAATTGCAAAAGAAAAAGACCATTTTCAGAACATATGCAAATACAAAAAGAAAATAGAAAGAGTACAAAAAGTACAACCCCTCTCTGAAGGCTGAAATATTTGCAGTGAATATGCAAAAAAGGAGAGAAAAAATAAGGATAAATGGCCAAATATTTAACATGCAAGTCGATACAGGCAGTGAAGTCACGCCAATACCAAAAAATTTCTGGTTCAAATTGGGACAGCCTAAATTAAAAAGTCAACATCCAATTGAAGCAATTTGATGGAACAACTATAAAAATAATAAGTACATTTCAAGGCAATTTTGATACGGATACGCGTTTTGAAATAATTCCCATTACTGTGATAGAATGCGAAAAAGATCACGGATTACTAGGGATTGGTGTGTTAAAAGTAGATACAGTAAGATTAATCAATTCCATGGACGTGTTGCAGCGGGCCGAGAGGTGTGAGTGCCAATCGACCGTACAACTAAAATAGGGGACACAAAGGCAAGGAGATGGCAATCAATAGCAAAGAAGGATAACAAACGCAGATGGTCCGTTGTAGATGATGGAAATCGTGTCTTTATTTGCGAGCGGTGGATGGTAAGACGACAGAGGTCGTTTGTTCGGGAACGGTGTCCGGACGTTAACGTCTCAGAGGGAAGGCAGTAGCAAAGAGTGAAGTGAGTGGAGCCTTGAAGAGTGGCATTCGAATGACTTTCGGAAGTTAGCCCTGAAAAGGACTGTTTGAACAACTGCTGCTACTGCTGCTGGGTCCCGTCAGCTGCTAGGCTTGGTCGACTTGACTGGGCGCGTCAAAGTCGCGAATCAGGAAGGCGAGATTTATTTTGTAAAAAATACAAAATTGTGGCACAAGGCCGAAAAGGGGGAGGGGGTAAGGCTGGTCTTCACTAACTATCTCATACCTGTCTCGGGCATCTAGATATGACGGTTCATACAAGAGAAGCGGTGACGCTAAACAAGTAAATGAATATAATTAATTTCGGGCCGTATTAATTACAGTCAAAAGTATGTTCGGTGTTTGTTGACTGTATTTAAATTAATTTCGGTTCGAAATTAAAGGTCTTTTATTTTTGTTTAGTGGCGAAAATTGAGTTTTGTGTGTTTCTGTCAGTTTGAAAGGATGTCGTTGCTATTTTTAGCACGCAAGGGTCGTGACCTTTCTC